GGTCTGCACAGAGGGCTGCGGCCTCCAAGTTGCTCTCGTTCTGGCCGGCGAGGAAGCTCTGCACGTTGCGGGGTAGCCGGCAGGTCCAGACGCTTCGGATGACGTTATCAGACACATCTGGTGCGAGACTTTTGAGGTACCTCAGGAACTGGGACGGCTTACGATCGCCAATTTCCTCGACCGTGAGGATTTGCCGGATGCGCTGCTCTGGCGATGGGGATAGCCGCCTCATAAGCTCGGTCCTTAGTAGGGTGTAGGGGCCTCGTTCGGGTGGAGAGGTGATAATGTCCTCTACTTCCGATGCGTAACGTTGGTCCAACTGCGAGATCACGTAGCAGAACTTCGTCTGCTCGCTACTGATACCGGCCAAAGTGAACTGTGCTTCGGCTTGAGCGAACCAAACTGCTGGTCTGTCGGCCCAGAACGGCGGAAGCCGCACGGCAATTGTTGGTGTCTCTGTTGGTACTGGTCTGCTAGTAATACCAGCATCATGCCGTTTTTCTTCCATTTTGTCTTCCTGTTCTCGTTTGGTACGTAGTTCGCCTTGTAAATTCTCCATGTGTGTTACGTACTGTTGCAGGAGGTCTTCTATTCGACTGCTGTCCATTATGTGTGTTGTATTGTCGGGGTCACCAATGTGGGATGTCGTATGAATGAAGAGACAACCACTATTTAAACGGTCCTATAGGATTTATTGCAGCTGCACAGTGTACACAGACGGATAACAACAATAGGAACTGCTTGAACACTGGACTAGAATTGCAGAACTGTAGAATCGAGACTGTCACTGTAACTCAGTGTATCTTCTTATGTAGACTAGAGTCGGACATATAGAAAACGGTTACGTAATAAGTACTGCTGTTGCCGGTTACCGTGTTTACAAGTTCCCTAGCAACCGCTGTTTACTCGCTTTTGCCTAGCAACTGTTGTTTACTCGTTGTTGCTAAGCAATGACGCTTGCGTTGTCACACTTGCTTGAATGTGGGTAGTTCCCACACAACCTTGGTAATTTTACCAAAGAAGTTTAAATTTATACCGCAAACGAAATGTTTGTAGATGGCTTAGGTGAATCGGGTGGCTTCACTATTGGCGTCTTAGTAGTACAAATCATGGCGGAAGCGGGCAAAATTTCACAAAGTTTTGGTCTGAATGGGGTTTGGGTACCAGTTTTAATGGCGGAAATTGTATCTGCACGCCATCTTGCAGGCAGTGTGTATACTATATTAAGAAAAACCGGTGATATGTTGTAAAAAATATCGTAATACGAAATAGTTTCGCACGTTAACGCCATCTTATGCCAGGTACTGGGATTTCGTGAATCCTTAGGCAGTGACATCTGTCAGAACGTTTTGTACTGCGTGATGCATGAGCACGCAGTCATCTGAATATGTCCTATTGATAATTCAAGGCCTCCGCGATCTAGTGGCCAAAGATTGAACTATAAGATGTGTATGCCTTCGCTACCTATCTGTAATTTTTAATGCTGCCAAGCCACCCTCCCGTGGCCGATTCCTGTACTACAATTCGAAGGCCGTGCCATCTGTCTTCAAATCGCAGTTACGGTGGTTGCGGCTGAAAATTCGTCCTGTGCTACTAAGATTTGGCCAAGTCAATGCTCTCGCCATCTATCGGCAATTTTTTGTATTATCAATTGTGGGCGTGCTAAACTTTTTTTTCTTTGCTGGAGGTACAGAAATACTAATTTTAATAAAATGATAGTATATATATTTTCCTCTCTTACATAAAATTTTGTTGCTCTTCCTGCCACCTATTCTCTAATCTCGTAATTCCACAATTCTTCTTAAATAATTATTCCTGTTTTCTGCAACCGGGTGGATTCGAACTGCTGAGGTCTGGTTTGCTGGCCGAATGTCTTGTCCACTAGACCACCAAGCTCTCAGACAATACATAGTTTTGGAACTCCCTCATTAATCATGCTGCTTCCGAATTTTAGGAAAAAATATTTTTTTAAGTCCTTTCTACTACCAGGCAACTGGAGGTTTCGAACTGCCGAACTCTGGTTTACTAGTACACTGTTTTAACCACTAGACCGTCAGTACCACTATGAATGATATTATTCCGGAACTGTATGATAAATTTGACGTCGCCCACATTTGTCTGATGCTTTCCTCCTCTTGCCAGTTGCTTGGTTCAGCTTCTGACGATACTGGAGGGCGTATACTCCATCAAGTGCCAGCGCCATTGCATAGAGAGTATGGCGGGCAATTTGAAATGTAAGTTTCATCCAGTGACTTTTCCAGTGCATTGTGTGGTGCTCCTGTATTTACAATTGTGACAAAGAATTGAGCTCCTTTCACCTAACATTACGAGATTGCATGCCAGAAACAATAAGAGCGGTGAACATCACTGTAAATACAGTGCTACCACAAAATGCACTTGAAAAGTCACTAGACTAAACATACATTTCTAATTACCATACTCTCTACTACTGGCACAGGTACTTGCTATGGAGCAACATATTTCCATCTGTACAGGCGTTTCTGGGGATATGAATGCTCCCACTGTACCGATGTATGGGGAAGAACGTGATTTAGGATAAGTTCTATTGTTGAGAGTGCAGGAAACAATGGTGCATAATATAAAACACAAATCACAATACAATGAGCTTCATTTGAAACATTCATCCTTATGGCTAATATTCTAACAAAACAGGTTTCCTTCCACGATGTGCCGCCATGTAGTCTGGTAGCTACATATCTGAGAAACCTGAAGATGCAGGCAGCAGCTTCCTCCAGGGTCCTGGTAACATTGCAGTTTGGTACATGCCACACCACATGATGTCACATGCCAGAAGACTGTAATCTCCATTCACTGCTGTGATAACCTCAAATCTTGGATTTCATCCTGCAAAAAACAAACAGTAGAAGCAAAATAATTGGTAGGGCCTGAATGTTCTGATTTGCCTCTTGCATGTGTAATATACATACTCTGCACTTGTGTCAAGAGCAACTGGACTTGCATGACTCAGAGCATAAACCACTAGTCACTTCACCCCTTATACAGGATGTTTCACGACTTTAGGGCATAATTGCAGGAGGTGATTTCCTAGGTCTTTGTGCTCAAAAATGTTCATATAAACATGTCCGATTTTGGACGGTTACGGAGTTATGACCGTTTTAAACTCAGAATAGAAGGTAACGATTACTGACAATAAACGGAACAAAATAATAAACCAGCATAATACATTTCAAGTATGAATGTAAAGTTAACTTCACGAAATTACCTTTAATTTGAATTTATTGGTGCTTAAACCTGATTTCTGAAAATGCCACCGCCGGCCGCAACACAGGCTGCCACTCGGTTGTGAACCGCGCGGGTACATACCAACCCACCACGCCTTAGGTACCTCTCAAGTGTCGAGATAACAAGAACGCTCTGTCTGTAGCTGGCTAAAAATAGCGCCCGTCAGATGATAGGCGCGGTTCACACGAGGGCGGGTACGGAAATGAAAAAACGGTCATAACTCTGGAAACGTCCAAAATAGGATACATGGTTATATGAACTTTTCTGATCACAAAGACCTAGGAAATCACCTCTGCAGTTATGCCCTAAAGTTGTGAAACATCCTGTATATGTAGGCCCTTGCCTATCCTGTCACGCGGATTCATACCAGTCCACTGTCAGGAGCATTCTGCCATGAACTTGTTAAGGTCACATGCTGAGTGTTATGTATCTTTACTCATTACATTCTTTGACATATATTGTAGCAGTTTGCATATGGGAACAACAGATCCCAAGTGTTTTACGTTTTCCTCACCAGTCTGTGCACATATTATTTCTGCATCACTGCTTCTTGCAACCGGTGGGAGTGAAGGAAGCTACAAGACAGGAAACAGCAAGCATACAGCAATTTAGTGGATACAATTTCTTTATTAAAACCTTCACAACACAACTATATTAAGGTCAGTGCCAAAGTTGTGTTGTGATGGTTTTAATAAAGAAGTTGTACATTATAACACAATAGGATGCACGAAATTAAAATTTAGTGGGCATTCAACATTTTGTCATTATGCAAACTGCATCCCCATCAGTTGTGACTATTATCTGGCCACTAATTACAATGAAGAACTTATCCACTATAAACACTGTAACCATTGTTGTCTCAAATGTCTACCTTATAAGTACACCTTGCAAAGTTCTTCATTCCATGATAACTGGGCACACTAAAGTGCAACTTTCATATTACAGTGAAATTTGATAAGCTTCTGCAGCCTGTTGGAATGAATGAAACTGTCAAATTTTAGCCCCCTGTGCCTTTGAATTGCTTCACAGCCGGAACTCACATTTTGAAAGAAACGTTTTTTGCACAACACAGCTTGTATCCTATAACTGTCATCACTGAACTATCTGAAGACTCCTACCAAAAATAATTGTTCAGAGAAGTGTACCTTTATGTCAAGAAATGTAATTTTGAAAAAACAAGATTTAAGATTTATCATTTTCACCCAATATTGTGCCACATACTTACTTTTTATAACAATTTCCTGAAGAGCTAAAGAGATAAAAATCTGACATGTAGGGGGAACTCAAAGATTCGGAAACATCTATTTCCAATACATATGTGGCCCCAAACTGTCCCCCCCCCCTTCCCTAAATGCATATTCCTCTCTTCCAGCACACAAAGTTTATTTCTTCGAGACTACTGACAAATCCAGCCAATGTTTCTGTTTTCAACATGGTGTTCAGGTGGGCTGAACTGTCAAAGGGATATTCTACCATTAGACTTCCTACACCAATGGAAACTAGACCATCCTGTGTTCGATCCTTCCCCAGTCAATGAGTTTGCTCTTGATAAAAATGTTCGCAACCCCCCCCCCCAAAAAAAAGACAAAAGACATCAAAGTCAGCTGGTCACCTCATTACAGCTCTCAGTAGCAATATTCCCTGTGTTGCTAGCCCGAAGTGTTCTCACAGACAGCAATGGAGATCCTTCACTTTATGTCATGCAGTTTCAACACCATCTCTACTGCTTCTAGGTGAAGCAGCCTCACAGTCTGCAAACAGATGCATTTCAGCTGCAGTCAAAATTCAAGGGACCTGTTTCACAATTTACCAATTGCTGCTACAGCATGTCACAAGTATATTTATAAAAACAGCAGAATGTTAAGTCCCTATGTCTTACAGCAAATGTTCTAAACCAGGGATACATGTACACTCACAGGGTCAGTGAGGCCTCACAAAGTGCAGGTAAGTTACTTCACACACTGTCAAACATAACCAGAAGCAGGCAACAGTGCTTCTGATGGCTTCTTGCATGGCTTCAACCCTGATGAAGGCATTACATTCCTGCAAAACATTGGACTTTCTGCAAACTACATGGCATTACAACCCACGAGTCTGTACTCTCTTTACCCTGTATTTATAATGCATGACAACATGTAGCTTGAGACAGAAATGAAGTTTCCATGGAAAAGGGGCAGGTTAAGTTTCACTCTGAGACCAAGGGGCACATCATATGAAAAGCATTCAGAAATGGCAACTTACATCAATTCAGCAGCAAGGCTTTAATAATTCCAATATTTTTCTGTACGACTGTTCACTTAAAACAGAAATCATCGCATACTCGGTCCCATGCAAACTTCAAGACTCCCTTCACAAAGTAATCAAGTGCTGTGTCCAGTGGTTTACCACACTTTAAAATGCACCACCTACAGGTTTGCTGCCTGCCTGACTTAGATTCCTCCTTCAGTCTCCAACTGCAGATTCCAGTGGGAGAATGTCTTCAGTTTAGTCAACCCTTTGCCACAATTTTCATTCAATGCACCCTGACACAATTAGAGCAGGTAATTTAACCCTCTGAAGCCTGAAGTCCATCTAAATGATATTTAAGAGTTCAGTTCTTATCTCAAAGAAAACATGCCATGTCTGCATTACAGAGACCAACTGCCTAATGCCAATTAAGGGAATAATCACTGTGGGAATAATATGAAAATGAACCATGTTTTGCTAAGCTAAAAGGGACAGGGTCCTCTTAATTTTCCCATGTTAATGCAAACAAATTTGAGTAATATGCATGGAGTAAGAAGGATCACAGTTTCAGTGTACAGCAGACTGGATGCAGGACCTGCCACTGACATGGCTGCACAGTGGTGTAGTGGTAAAGCCTGAGATGTATATTTAGGGGTTCCTCTGTTACAATCTTGGCCAGGGCAATGGCTCTCCTCAGTCCCACCAGGCAAACACCATGACAGTACTTGGAACAGGCCATGGTCACTTCCTTCCAAGTCCTTTCCAGCTCACTGCTCACTGGTGATCCTACAAGTCCGAGATCCTGCTGATCCATGCCGTGCCATGGAGACAGTGCATAGACTACAGCATACTGGAAGTAATGCCAAGTAACAGAAAAATCAGCCACAACATTTTGCTCCAAACCATGGGACTTCACTTCTATCAGCTTCTGATGGACTTGGCTAAGATCCTGAAGATGGATAATGCGTTTGTTTGTCCTGCGGTTTCATAAGCTGTACTTCAAACACAGCAGTTGCACTCTGTTATTTTTTGTTTGCATATCTGTGTTTCAACTAGAGATGTTAGAGTTCAATGGACACAGCTGTGACAACATTACTTCCACCAGACATCATTAAAATTTAGTCAGGGCCAAACTGTTTCACGCCAACAAACATACCACAGAAGCTGCATGACTGTAAAATGTAAGTTGGTGCACAGTAGCTGAATGAATAAGAAACAGACTGTATGAGATTTCAGGTTTTCACAGCAGGGAAGACTAGCACTTTGGTCTTCTGTGGCCTGGCAGGCAGCTCCCAGCATTTCACAAGCAATACACTGCTTCCATCTTCCAGATGTAAGCAGATGGAGAACAGTATGCACCCCCAAAACATGGATACCCACCCACCACGCTACCAGGTTCATAGCACACAGGACCACAACCTAAGTCTTGAATTACTTCGAAGTACTACCCTCACTTCTGCAGGGCAAAACCCATAAATGCTACTAGGACACGTGCTCCTCTGGCAAGTATCTGAACTAGGCCTCTGAATTCAAACCACCACACTTCAGTATTTGGGTCTGTCAATGAAATATACTGATGTCACAAAACCATCAACAAGACACAAAAAGGACTGATCACTTACAATGTCCCACTACACACTCTACAAACTAGTAACACTTCCCAGATCAAATATTAATGAGCTCCCATTTGCTGACATATTTTTAAATTAATCTGAGTATCTTCACTGCACTACAGGCCATACCACAGCTCAAGTGGTTAGTCGCTGGCTTCCCACCGCGACAGCCCGGGTTTGATCCTGGGTCTCATCAAGTGGGATTTGTTGTGGACAAAATGGCACTGGGGCGGGTTTTCTCCAAGTACTTCCGTTTCCCCTGTCAATCTTCATTCCACCAAATTCTTCATCATCATAATCACCCGGGGCAGGTACAACAGGCCAATCAGTGGCTGCCATGCCGAGTGACCCCAGCTGGACTCCACCCCCCACTAAGCAAATCTTCACTGCACTACACTGTTTCATTCAAAAGGGAAGAGGCGATGGGTATATGTGCTTGACACCACAATGCTGTGTATCCTCTGATTTCAACTTCTGAAACATCTGACAAATTTTATAGAACTTTGTATACACGTTATGCTACTGAAGACACATGCTGCACTTTCAAACTTCCTTTACCTGCAACAACAATATGGTGGGTGCATGAAGTAATTGAGCATCCTTCTGTGTATTCAGACTGTGCTTGGTCTGATGACTTTGGATGTCAGCTTACGTTGGGAACATCACAACATTGCATATCTATCTGAGCAACTGGGCACACAAGGGGGCTGAGTTAGGTCTGGTTAGGGTGGCACATCGGACAACCTCACATCTGTCTGCACATTATATTGTGCTCCGTGAATTTTGGAAATTTGAAAATTCTGGTTTCAGAATTAAAAAATTGCCAAATATTACGCTTTAAACATTTAAAAATAAGGAAAAACTGTCAATCTTTTAAACATCAAATTATGTACAGTGAAATCCTAACTGGGTGTTCCCATATGTAGAGAAATCCACTATTCAGTGAACAGTTTTTCCTTGGCCCAGCTGAAGTCCAACATAAATAATGTATTATCCTGTGTTTAGTGAATTTCAGCTTAGTACAGAAGCCACATTCAGAAATTTTCTACCTTCCAAACATATACCTTGATTTCGTACAACTGTGTTCAGGAAAATGATCAATATTAACCTTTTCTCCGGTTGGAATCTTTTCTGCACAACCATAATGTTTACCAAATGATGACTGTAAACACGGGCCAAAAGCACACTGATTGTGATATCACTATTGCTCTGATTTTCAACTGAGGTTCTTTCAGTATATATTATTTTAGAAATGAATATATTGTTCAATTGCATTTGTTTGTGTAAAAATAATTTTCTTAACTGCTTTCTTCTAAGAAAATAAGTTTCTCTGTGTAATTTTGCATAATTCCCATTTAGTAAACCTGAATCTAGTGTACCAAGTCATTCTCCCAGTGATTCATTAGAAATGGATTTCACCATCTGTCTGCAATTTCTTTTGGCTGTTCTTGGTTTTGGAGATAATGTCACATTTCTAAGCACCTTGTGTAAAATTTGCCACTGTTTTTCCTTTCCTCCCTCAACTTGCATTTAGTGTGGTGCAGCAGAAAGTTGTAGCATATAAATCCATGACACATTTTAAATGTTTTCAACAATTCTGGGCACTGATGACATCCAGAGGGTACTGAGTGTAAACATTTATTGCCAGCTGGAAGTACACACAAAAAGAAAAAAAAAATTAGATTCTTATAAAATATTTACGTTTACTTGAAGTATAGGAATGTAGAGTTATTTCCATAAACCATTATTTTGCACAAGAAAAACCCATTATTAAGAGCCAGACCAGCAAATTACACATTTAAAAACTGTGTGTTAGGTGTGCTGACTCAATAAGTAACTACCAAAGTTATTTTTTTTTCAGTTCAGAATTTTAGAGCTAACAGAATGGCCAGATGTGTTTAAATTAAAACTGAACTATTTTCAAACATGTACCAAGGCCAAGGATAAAGAATAAAGGAAAATTTGAATGTTATTAGGCCACAGCACCTACTGTATGTATACAGGCTAGAAGTCACTTCAGGACATTCAAGCCACCTGTGGAAAGGGCAACGTAATGCGGCCCACAGCTCACACAACAGAAGGTACACAGAATTATCCCCAAATGTCAGAAAACATCAGAATTGGGAACAGCAACAAAGGGGTGCTTAGACTAAGCAAAATGGATACCTGTAAACATAACTTGTGGGTATGTAACCATCATGCTGATAATACAGTCACTGCTTAGTGATTGTGCACTCCTTGCCTGAGAGCACTTCTGTGCCAATTAAATGACTTGCACTTGGTCCACTACTTCACTTAACAGCCTTATATAAAATCACTACCTAAATTTAAACCGTTCTTGCATTCATCGAACTCAGTACCCTCTTTTGTGTATAATACACATGCGCTGTCCTTGTGTCAGGTACAACTGGACCTATAAAACTCCAAAACTAACTTGTTCTGATTAAGCCACTCTTACATGAAGAGCTCTGCTGTACTTGGGAGCAGATAACATTAGTTAGCATATCTTTATACAACAGAACCCAACATAAGGTTCTGCCCATTTAACGTTTAATTTAAAGGACCCCAAGTCAATAATCTCAGTGTTAAGCTTCCTCCATTTAGTGTCCAAATTCACCTGTGACTGAGGTTAGCACTTCCTAATGGACACTATAGAGTAGATGCCTCCCACCCCTTCACCTGAGGATGGAAGGGACCAAGTTTCCAAAACTCTGTGTGCTTTAATGTTCTTTAGAATACTGCACAATGTAAAGGTCCAAACCCAGTAATCCTGACTGTGCTAGACCATCGTCAGAACCCATTACAATCTAAATTTCATGTGTTTCTGCAAGATGGTGTGTGCCAAAACATTCTGGGAAATGTCCTGGTGTGAGAACACAAGATGCAAAGCTATCTATAATCTCGTTAGTTCAATTCCCATTTCTTTTGGAGGATATGTATGGCTTCAGCTGTAAATTCTTAAGTTTCTCCTAGCTGCCAATCACCCAAATTCAGCTGGTGATTGCTGATGTAAAGTAAATACAAAAGGAACAGAACATCTGTACATTCACTTTTTAAGCACGATCTAATTACTGAAATTCTTCCCACTCCCAGGTGCCATTTCTCTCTATCCACCCACTGTCCCCCCCCCATGCAATGGCCCCATACAATTCTCACATGCAACGGAGGGTTACAAATATCAAAGTATGTTCACTTGTTACTTCTTCACTCAACTCAAAACATTTTTACAAGTCTATCAGTACATATGGCCTCCTTTCCCTTATGATCTGCATCCTTTTCTCAGATTGGGCAACACCAAACATTCCCATTTTTGTGTTTCACCCCAATTCACACACAACAAATACTGCAGCCAAGTAGCAGCACTTCTATCTTGTATCTGGGAGGTCCTAGGCTGAAACCTCAGCACAGAGACTAGCTATGCTGAGTTTAGACCTTTCACAGAGTACTTTAATCCCTCCAAGCTAATGCCATGACAGCACCTGTAACTTCAAAATGTTGGGATCCATCTATAATATTATGCGGTGTTGCATCACAGAAGACCGTAATGTTGACTATGTTGATGATAATAATAATAATACAGTATTTCTATGGGGCAGAGCTGATACATGAGAATCTTACAAAATATGTCATGATTACTTTGCATACAACCAAAACTTTTTGGTGAATGAAGCTGCATGGGGCTAGGAACATATTTTTCTGAAAATCAGTGATGTAATCACGTACCCAGCAATTCATATTCAGAGATCAGCTCTGATGAGTGTGAGACTGGCCTATGTGACACTTCATGAGAACCTATAATTAAATGGCTCTGTGGACTGACCACACACAGAATGGGATCTCTGCTCTAATTACAGCAAGAGCTGCAGCCATTTTTACATGCTGTGTCACAGCAAAGAATTCCATCCCCTTAAAAACTTGAATTCCTGGTAAGAAGCAACCAAAATAGGTTCAGGCCTAAAATCTGGGAAATCCACTTCTATGGGGGTCTACAAGCTTGCCAACATTCACATACCTGTCATTTGTTTCACAATCTGTGCTAATTAATGAAACTGTTTAAACACAAACCTGTGAAATTTAAATCTGTATGATCACAGGTGAAAGGCAAACACACCAAAACCTGCACGGTCCAATCCTTCAGGACCCTAATAGATTGTGCCTTAAATGAACATTTCTCTACGGAATTCTTGTGCATCTTATTTGAGAACTGTGACTAATCCTATGTTGCCATGTTTAAGATGGTGTGCAACTGGCAATGAAACATTCTGTGGTTACATTTCTACACTGTTATGTAGTTAACACGGTCGCTGCCATGCCCAAGTGACTGTTGGATAGATAAGTGTTCCCATATGTGGATTACTGTATCCAACTTAGATCAAACTGTAAAGCATACAAACACTATTTCTGTCTGACAGTTTACTCGTAGAGTGTTCCCAGATTTTGCTGGACAAGAATATATTAAAAGTACCATGACAATTAAAAACCCAGAGCTTGGCATTTAAATTACTCACCGAGAGGCTGGCAGCAAATATGTTAATTATACACAGCCCACCTGTGAATGATGTAAACATGCCATGATCCCGGACACGAAGAATTTTGAGGAAAGGCATCACAATGCGCTTGTTACCTTGTTATGTCTGCTGGCAGCATTGCTCCCTACTGGCACCCTTCAGCCTGTCACATTGGTGCTGATGTGGATCCTTCACTCAGCTTCAGTTAACACCTCCACTGCTTCCGCATGAACCAGCCCCCACATGACACTTACAGAAGCGCCTATTAAACCAATAAAAACATCATTCTGTGTAAAATGGCGCACTGTGGGGAACTGCAGCTCCCTGAAACTTATACCAGGGATACATGACACCTCTTACAGGGAAGTACATGATATATCGCATCCACCATCAAATGCAGATCTAAAGGGCAACCCAGTCCACATTCTTGACAACTCTCTTTTGTGTAATTTTTCATGTGTATAAAATATTTAAAGGTACCTTATCTCTATGGGGCACAACACTGAGCCTGATATAAATGTTCTACTCCCAATGGAGGGGCATAGAAGAACTTTCACTCTATGACCAACAGGTACATAAACTGGTAGTAAAGACTCAAACACAGGCATACAGCAATTCTGCAGCATCTTTCTGCATGGCAGCAAACTCTGAATGAAGATCAATGTGTGTCTGGTTCTAAGCAAGCTACATGAAACGCTATTTCCAGTGCTTTAATCACATTTTAAAATGCACCACAGGCTTGTGTTCAGGACAATCTACTGATGAGGAGTATAGCTCTTGGGGAATAATAATGTCTGTTACATTTCTTTCTTCAGTCTCAAACTTCAGATTGGGGGGAAGGGGGGGAGACTTGGTAAGCCCTGTACCAATTCATTCATATTCAATGTATTCTGAAACAATTAGGCCAGACAGTTTATGCCTTTGAGGCCTCATGTTCATTCAAATTATATTTAAAAATCGAATTCTTGTCTCACAGGGAACATTGTCTCCTCCCCTTCATGCTGCCACAATATGAACACTACATAACATGACAATGAATCCAAATTGTACAGATTTTCATGAAAGCTGACAAACAAATCAACAGGACTCAGAAAACTGCTGTTCACCGTGAGAATCGCATAAAACACACAAACATACTATGTGTGCAGAATCCGGAATCTTGTTAATGTTAAAACAGATGGTTCATATAGTAACCAGTATGAGTATCACTTTACTGATATGGTGATCTACATGTGCACAAAATAAAGATTTTTTGGTAACACCTTTTTAATCTATATAATCAAATTTAATTATATACATCAACCAGTTAAGACAGAAAATGCTAAGATTAAAAAATCCAGTAATGTAAATGTGATCTGTAATGCTTACTACATTTTCTTTAACAAGATTCGGGGCCAACATGTTAGCATTAAACCAATTACTAATGAGAAATGAGTAAATATCACATTGGAAAAAAATCACCAGCACTCTAAAACTTTTAAAGAAAGCAGTTAACATGGAACCATCAAACAGAAAAAAAAAAGTTTCATTATAATTTAAATTATGACCATTTCCTTGATTCTGAAATACTATAAGATGTACTTTTTTTTTATTGCTAGTGGGGTGGGACTAAGTCCCTCGCACTGCGGCCACTTCTGGCCTATTGTACCAGCCCCAGATGATATGTGAGGGTGATTGTGGAGCAATTGGTGGAATGAAGATTGGCAGGGGATACCGAAGTACTCGGAGAAAACTTGCCCCAGCACCACTTTGTCCACCACAAATCCCACTTGACCAGACCCGGGATCGAACCCGGGCCGCAGCGGTGGGAAGCCAGCAACTAAATGGTTGAGCTATGGCGCAACCTATAAGATGTACTTACGTACTATCGTACCAATGTTCATTGCCCACACAGCATAGAAGGCACAGACGACCACCATTTTGAATTTACTTCCTTTTCCGTTTCTTCTTAAGAAATTTTTCAAAACGTAACAAAAGCTCTGCTGTAGTGGGCAGTGTAGTAACATGAACCATTTATACACCATTTCCCAATACAAACTCAAAAGGTTTTTAACTACATGCTATTCTACACTACATTCTATTATGACATCATCATCATCATCATCACTGACACGACAGCCCTTTGTGAGCCCTGGCGTTCCTCAGGATTGCTTGCCATTCTTCTTCATTTGGTGCTACATTCCTCCAGCTCTTTATACCCAAAATTCTTATGTCCTGCCACACACATTCTTCCCATCTTAATCTTGGTCTTCCCACTCTCCTATTGCCTTCTGTTTTAGTATTAAGTATTTTCTTGATCATTCTATTCTCGCTGGCATGTATTATGTGTCCAGCCCATTCAAGCCTTTTCACCTTTATAAATCCAATAATGTCTGGTTCATTAAATAGTTTGTATAGCTCATGGTTATACCTCTTCCTCCATATTCCATTTTCTTCCACTGGTCCATCTCAAGATCCTCCTTTCAAATATAGTTAACAGTTTTTCATCCGATCTTGACAGTGGCCAGGTCTCAGAGGCATAAGATAGCACTGATCTTATAAGTACTTTATACATCATAGTTTTGGTTTTCCTGGGTACTAATTGGGATTTCAGGTGTTTCCTAAGGCCATGGAGACATTTATTTGCCACAAGTACATGCTTTTTTATTTCATCACTGATATCATTTTTATAGTTAACTTCTGATCCAAGGTAAGTGAAACTACATACAGCCTCAAATTTATATGAGCCAATTTCAATTTATGCAGGTCCATTAGCACAGTCTTTCTTGGTTACTGGCACGTACTTTGTTTTATCTTGGTTAATTTGTAGATTCATCTTTTTTGCTGCTCTTTCCAAATTAAGAAAAGCTTCTTTCATAGATTTTTGTGTTCTACCAATCATATCAATATCATCTGCAAATGCCAAAATTTGAACTGACTTATAGAGTATAGTTCCCCTTGTGTTGATGCCTGCATCTCTAACTACCTTCTCTAATGCTATATTGAACAAAAGGCAGGCTAGGGAATCCCCTTGTCAAATTCCATTTCTAGTTATTATAGGGCTGGACAAAATATTCTGAATCTTAATTTGGCATTGGGTCTTCCTCATAGTGGCTCTGACTAAGGCGATTAACTTCCGTGGAATGTGCATCTCTTCCATTGCCAGAAAAAGACTATATCTATGGAGTCATGGGCTGATCAGAAGTCAATGAAAAGATGATTTGTTTCAATTTGGAATTCATTACACTTTTCAAGGACCTGGCAAATAGTGAAAATCTGATCGTTAGTTGATCTTGCTTGATGAAACCCACATTGGTAATCCCCAATTATGCCTTCCACAAAGGGAGCGAGTCTGTTAAACAGAATGTTGGAAAATATTTTATATGCTATGCACAACAGACTAATCCCTCTATAGTTAGAGCATACCATGACATCGCCTTTCTTATGGATAGGGCATACAACACTTATGAGGGTAGTACTGAAAGTCATGAGCAACAATTTTTTTGTAAAGTAACATGCTTTATTATTGACAAACCAAATGCACCACCTCAATCTACAGACCTTTCTTTATTTGTCCACATAATTGCCACTTCTTTGTACACATTTCTCCCAGCGTTCTGGGAGTTTGAAAATTCCCCTTCTGTAAATTTCCGTTCCAGCCATCTGAAGACACTGACGCACTGCTTTCTGAATTGCCTCCCTTGTCTCGAAACGTTGTTCACGCAGCTGATCCGTCACAAATCCAAAAAGATGGTAGTCGGAGGGCTCCAGATCAGGGCTATAGGAGGGGTGTGGAAGAACTTCCACCCCATCTTTGCAATTGCTTCCAATGTGAACTTTGTGGTCTTCAGTCAATAACCGCGGGACCCAACTAGCACAAATTTTCCTATAGCCCAAGGTTTCAATCATCTCCTGTACTGCACTGTGCCCTATTCCAAGTTTTGGGGCTATTGAGTCCATAGTCACACGCCTATCATCTTGAATGATCTATCCACTCTCCTTGTTGCGTTCAGTTGAGGCTGTTCGAGGATGACCACTCCGAGGCTCATCTTCGATGCTGGTGTTCCCATCTTTAAAATGTTTCACCCATCTTCGAACACTGCTCGTACCCATGCACACACTTTCATAAGCATGCTGAATTCAGAAAGCATTACGTCAGTGTCTTCGGATGGCCGGAACGGAATTTTACAGAAGGGGAATATTCAAACTCCCAGGATGCTGGGAGAAATGTGTACAAAGAAGTGGCGATTATGTGGAAAAATAAAAAAAGGTCTGTAGATTGTGGTGGTGTATTTGATTTGTCAATAATAAAGCATGTTACGTTACAAAAAAATTGTTGCTCATGACTTTCAGTATGACCTACGTAGATTCCATTCCTCTGGGATTATTTCAGTTATCCATATCTTAACGATTAGCTAATGTAAGTGCTTAGCATATTCTTGGCCTGCAAATTTCACTAATTCTGCCATGATGAGATCCATTCCTGGAGTTTATTATTTTTCAATTTTTTGATAGCTTGTTCTACTTCTTTTATGGTCGGCGCTGGCTCTTCAGCCTCAAAAATTCCTTGATTCCAGTCTATGGTCATACCTTCCACTTGTTAATAATTCCTCAAAATACTGCGCCCATCTTTCCAATATTGCTTCATCGCTACTCAATATCGTGCCTTCTTTATCTCTACATAAGGTTGTTCTAGGTTGAAAGTCCTTTCAACTCTTGTTTAGTTTTTGATAAAATGCTCTAATTTCATTTGAACTTCTTAAATGCTCCAGTTCAATCAGTTCTCGTTTATCATATTCCCTTTTCTTCTTTTTATGCAATCTTTTTTCTTTTCTTCTCGCTTCACGGTATTCTTCCATGGCCCCTCGAGTATGGTTCCTTTGCTGCATTCTCTAATATGCCTGGTTTTTTTTTTGTCACTTGCTCACACTCTCCATCAAACCAATTCTTATACTTTATCCTTTCCATTCTTCCTAAGACTGCACCAGCAGCATTTATAATAACATCTCTGAGGCCCCTCCAGGCTTCACTGACATCCTCACTATCAGAGAGACCTGCCAGGCATTCACTAATTAATCCAGTATATCTGGTTGCAACTCCTTGTTCCACCAATTTTCCACAATTCAATTTCTTAGCCTGAGATTCATGTATCTTCCTTGCATTAGATATTAGACTTCTAATCTTTGATATTATTAAGTAATGATCAGAGTCAATGTTGGCACCCCTGTAGCTCTTGACATCCATCAAGTCTGAACAACGTCTTACATCTATTAGGATGTGATCAATTTGGTTAAACACATTTCCATCAGGGAATTTCCAGGTTCGTTTATGTATATCCTTGTGATTAAACACTGTACTACCTATGACCATGTTTCTTGAGGAAGCAAAATTTATTTATCTCATCCCATTATCGTTTGACTTGTTATGTAGGCTATGTTTTCCAATAACCGATCTATATACATCCTCATTCCCCACTTCAGCATTCATGTCCCCTATGATTATTTTACAATCCCTTTTTGGACATTCACCATATATTTCATCCAATTCATCATAAAAGGAGTCTTTCTCCTCATCACTTTTATCTTCAGTTGGGGCATGTGCACAAATAAGGCTATAGTTAAAAAACTTTCCCTTAATTCATAGCCTACATGTTCTGTGAGATTTTGCCTGGAAGTCTAAAATAAGATGCTTCCTTTTTTTATTAACAATAAAACCTGTTCCAAACATGTGACTCTTCTTCTGACAACTATAGAATACAACATGATCCCTCTTTTCCATTACTCCTTTACCCAATCACCTCAGTTATTGTATAGCAGTGATATCTAGTTTATAGCTATCTAATTGTTCAAGTAGCATTTTTAGTGCTCCAGCTCTATAAAGAGATAATACATTCCAAGATCCAATTCTCAAATCCTTTCAACATTTTCCAGGTCGTCTTGAATAGGTCCGTCCAACTACTCTTTCCTCGGATTTCTGAACAATTTGGTTTTTACGGTGTGAGGTTGTTAGCCTCGCCCAACCCCCAACCTGGAGGACCAGGGTATCCCTCTCTGTCTGGCTCCTACCCCTTGACCTGTCCGGCATGGGTGGCCCTACCAGTAGCTATGCTACCGCCGGCATAGCTCTCAGGGTCTCAGGAACTCTCAAACCCCACCACCACGATAAGGTGGAGATACCACTGGTGGGGTTTATTATGACACATGGCCTGATTTTCTGGGGTAATTCACTCCTCTGCATCCGTATCTTTAGGCTACAGAAGAGGGTAATAAGAATCATCACCAATTCTAGACGTAGAGATTCTTGTAGGGAGTTTTTTAAGAGATTAAAGAGTCTGCCCCTTTACTCACAGTACATTTTTTTCCATTTTGTTATCTGTGGTCAAAAAAAAAAAAATCTATTTTTTATCTAATTCTGAGATTCATACAATCAACACAAGACATAGTAATAACCTCCATTATCCCTCATGTAACTTAACTGTCTTTCAAAAGGGAACATATTACTCTGGAATTAAAATTTTTAATAAACTTCCACCTAATATAAAAGACCAAGCTCATGAGATCAAAAAAATTTGGTCTGCTGTTAAGAAATTCCTATTTTTAAATTCATTTTATTCATTGGACGAATATTTTAACTGTGGCAAACAATTAAAGTTTCGGATTTGTTACGGATGGTAGTTGATAGCGCTTTATTGTTACAGATCATGGTTTTTGTTAATGTTGTATATTGTTAATATTTTTAACTGGTATGACATTACACAATTGTGATGTTTACTCATGTTGACTATTTCTATATCCATTGGTGTTTAACCATGTAAGGATTTATGTAATGCTGAATAAATGAATGAATACTGAAACACGGGAAATTCCTTCAGTACCGCAAATTTCTCGACTATAAAAATGACTAATGGCTCTCACAACAAAAGTCACATTTATTAATCAGTTTACCACTACAATTATTATATTTAGGACAACGTACCTAATTTAAAAGACAACATAAAACTTACCGATGCCTTAACCTCCCATGCATTAGCCAGTACCTGGAAACCAATACACCTTCATCCTCCTCAAAAACGCTTCTGTGACCACACCATACTTTACACGTGCTTTATACCGCTTTATACATCGCTTTATCGTTCGATCAAGGACCATGATCGACAATGATTACGATTTACAGTTCATTATGGTCCTGACCGGTCCTGACGTCTTAACCCCTTCCATCTAGTGACGAGATGAGTCATTACAAGTTAACGATTTATTGAAGCGTTTTTACAAGCCAGAATGTAAATCTAGACTAAGCTGTTTAAGATGCAAAGTTTTCATTTTATGCATATTTATTTATTTTCTTTTTAATAAAAACCGGGGGACAGAGTCGTTATTGAGAAGGTGGTAGTTGTTACATGATGGCTCATAGTTCTGATGGTTCTGATGGACCATTATCGTGCTCATTCTGCCCCCATTCTGAACCATATGAATAAATTACTGCCATGTGTTTTGGTAGATGCATACCAAATTAATCACCAATACGAGAACCCCAAAACGTTAATTAATGCAGCCCCATTTCCAGAACCTACCTTTTTAAGTATTAAGATTAACCTTCCATCTATGCCTACGTCTTCTCATTAGTTTTTCACTAAAAGTTTATAAGCAAAACAATGCATAAATTTCTTCCTTCTTCCATGCATTCAATACGTTCTGGTCTATCGCAAATTATGAAGCTCCTCACTACACAATTTTTCCCATCTTCCTGTTACTTCCTCTCAGGCCCAAATATTTTCATCAGGTGTCTTTAAATCTATGTTCTCCTCTTAATGAGAGAGATCATGCTAAACAACCACATAAAACACAGGTTAAATTATAGTTTTATGTATTTTCATCTTTACATTCATTAATGACAGACAAGAAAGCAAAAGATTTTCAGTTGAATGGTAGCAAGCATTCCCCATATTTATTCTATTCTTTATTTCTTTGTGACTGAAATTTGTATCTGTTGCTGTCATGCCAAATATCTGAAATCTGCCACATTCTTAAAGCATCTATTAGTTGCCTTTCTATTATGACTTTGCCCTGCAATCTGTCAACTTTAAAAATTATTAAAATGGACAAACCTACACCGACACCCCTTCTGTACATAATATAGCCTGGACATTGTGCCAGAAGAAATGAAACACAAAAAAATATGCATGTGGTAATAATGACATAAAGAAGGTAGAAAATTGAGAAGGGAGAGGACAAGGGTAAAAGGATAAAGAGAAGAGAGAACAGGTCAAGAATTGGGGCTATGGACAAGAGAATAATGCAAAGAATGTGATGAAAATAGGAGATGAGAGATAGAATGGGAAGAAACATGAGAAAGAGAAGGAGAGCAGGGAAAAGATGAAAAGGAATAGAAAAATGATACAATGAAGATACCAGGAAATTATGGAAGGAGAAAAAACAATAAGTTTTATTGTATCTTTGTCAATATGAAGCATGTTAGGGAATCACTGCATGGCATGTCATTAGCTTGTGGTAGGAGAGGATTGTCTCCAGATTAGATTGGTAGCTGCTAATATCTTGAATTAGCAGTCATGGACAGATTAGAGGTGGTACTTCAATTTGGGAGGTTTGTGAGGGGTTGGATTGGCTCTGAGTACTTGCTTTGAAACTACCTCACCCAAAGAGATTGGCTCTTTTTTAATCTGTTGGTAAAGCATTTCTCTCATTAGATGGCACTAAGTATGACATACCAATGTTTAGGAGAAAGAACGTGCATTCACATGATCTATATATGCAGTCACATAAGTCATTTGAGGCAGTAATCTATATTTCCTATGCTACTATATTTACTACCAAGAAGCCTTGTAGCAGATGGTTTTATTGTGGAGCCATGCAGTCACAGGGCCAAATGACTCTAAGCAATTGAGTTAGTTGGTACAGAAAAGTTAAGAAATTATACAAACGAATTAAAGACATCAATATGCAATTACACATCACTGTCCCCTATAATGACTGGTATTAACATTCTTTATTGAAATCTCTGAATGCAAAGTGAATTCAATTAAATGTCAATAACGGACATAGTAAGTACATAACTAGCTATGAATGGATGGTCACAGTTTAATTTTTTATTCAGAGAGATAGGACAAAAAGTTACTTTGTTCTCTGGACAATTACCAAAACACACCAGTTATTTCATTTTAATAAGATTGAAATGCATGTTAAAATAAATCTTTAAAAAACACAGTCCTTATTGGTCATTTAGTATATCAGTATTTCTCTATCATGAAATCCTACAAAGTTCTCTGTAACAAAACCATTACTAATGTGAACTAAGTCTTCGACTGTCATGGTAGAACAGTTCCATCACAGTGCTGTACTAGAGTCTGGTTTTGAGGAATTTCACAGGAAAGAAAGAAAGTGTGGGTGTTGCAGACAGTTCTATAATTCTAGTCCATTGTTGTGTTTCAATACAATGTTCAAGGTGTTACAGAGTTCACTATTGTTATAATTATTCTTCAATTCTTCAAACTCAAGTTCATCTGTATATACTGTGCAACTATAATAAATATTATAGAACAGTTGAACAGGTTGTTGTCTCTTCATATAATGACATCCCACAAAGTATAAAAAAATCAATGTCTCACTCAATTTCATTTCAAAATATGTGAGTACTGAGTTTCCCACAGCAGTGTCTGTTCAGACTATGGTCTTGTTGGTTGTGACTTCATTTGTTGTCATTTCAACGCTGAAGATGGCAGCATGTTCCTCTGAAATTTCAGTACCCTGCTAAAAGACCATGCTGTTGCAACTCCAATGACAAAAATCTGAATAAATATTATATTTATATGGTTTTTTCATGGCTGAAGCCTACAGATATGGTAAATTCAATCTCTTCAGCCTCTGCCTGCCTTGGTAATGGTGAATGCATCGGTTTCTGAGTGGTGACACTTATGAGGCTGATTCTGCTACACACAATGTTAAAATCAGGATTACAGTTTCTGGACTCTAATCATGATCTAATCTAAAACACAGTGTTTTGGAAACTGGATCTGTTTATGTCCTCCAGCAAAATATTTTGGAGACATCTCCTCAACTGGGTCCATTAGATAAACCTCAGTCACAGGGCCAGTGACGGGGACTGAATCTGTTTCCATCCTCAGGTGAGAGGGTTGGGAGGGACCTACTCAGCTTCATTCATTACATAAAGACCAATGACTGACACTAATGCTATGCAATAAACCCAACTGATTATGTACCTATCCACCTTTCACTTGAGGATGGCAACATCCAGTTACCAAAATATTGTGTTCTCTTATCAGACAATAGTCGAAGCTCAGGAACTCTGTAATCTTATATAATACAGCTTCAACAGAATCATTCAGAATCGAACAATGGTAGATATGCAGTAGAGGGGGACTACAGCTTAACATAGGCTGCAAACTAGAGCTGGGGCCTGGCATTACTCATACAAAGCTTAGACACTGCCAGAGGTAGAGAGATTTAAACCCAGTTCCTCTTGTATGAAAGGCTTTGTATCTCAATGGTGGGAACGACTTGTATTTAGATGTATAGAAATGGACCTGAGAAGGTAAGGTAAAGTTGTCCCTGTGCTTAACTAATTAAGCATTATGCTATGAAGACGTATGGGGGAGTGGATCTATAAACTGGACTAGAGAAAGTCTAGATATATATCTGGAAGGCCTCTCCACGATTCAGCACAGGTTAGTAATAAGAACTCTTGGTCCCATACCATGCTCGTGAACTAGAAATGCTGCTGGTCACTTCATGCTGAAGATGGACACTGCTCTTGGCAAACCAGATACAACACAGAATGATCACTTTGCCATAAGAAGCACACACAATTGGTATAATGCAATTTAGATTTTATTTCTCCCTAATTCTGCATGTTAAGTTGCAACGAATCAGTTATCTTCTCTAGAAGTAGAACCTAAAGGTTTAATGCTGCTAATACTAAAGTCGATCATTGTAAATGATCCTGAGACAGTTCTAGCCACCTCCCTTTCTCACAACCTGGCTCCCTCAGAACTGTCTTAGTAATTCGCTAACTCCTGTAGCTGTAACCACAGGTACAACACTGCCATTAGACATAACACTGAGCCAGTTTCATTCACCTATTCACATGACCTTGCTCCCTACGATCCATCCTTATGTTACCCTTGTGTCCCCTTTTTAGTACTCTATGAAGTGTCTCCGTAAAGAGAGGGTACATGCTCCTGTCCCACCTCTTATATTCTCTTACATTTAATGCACTAACAATACTGCATGAAATGTCTTGTTACATAATACTGCACACATCCTACATCTTTCCATAACATAAATATTTTTGTGAGTTCTTTGGTTCAAAACTCTGGCAACTACAGTGCATGTTCTTACTTCTGAATAACAGACTGCATTTCAAAGCCACACAAAACCTTGTTTTCTGTATCCTGATATTTTAATATTTTGAAAGTAGACGTTATAATAGGAGTTATTGCCTATTCTTGGTTTATTTAATGACATGGTCAGTATCTCAGGTTCTATAGCACCAGGTGGTAGGATAATCAATGCAAAACAGGATGTGGAAGTAAGCAGTCACGTCTGATTTGAGGTACTATCCTAGCATTTTCATGGAGTGACTGAGCTAAACGACAGAAACACTTAGTCAGGTAATGAGTGTCTCGGTTGAGATTCGAACTAGGAATGTAACGAATACAAGTAAGAAAAATGTTGCTTGAGCCAAACTGTATGCAATTACAGTTCTTGAACTCAGTACTACAAAGCAGAGTGGATGATAACAATTCTTGACATCTCAAAAATTTTCAAGGCCGCCATGTTAACAGTGCTGATGACAAATAATGAAGAAGGGTAGGGTTACAATGGCATAATGTTTACAACATTGATGTCTATATCTCAGTGGGTTATGGACAGACATATGTGGCTTGCTGATATGTTTATGAAGAAGAAACTATGAACTTTTAGAACCCTAAAATGCACAGTTATCAAACTAGTGATTCTGTCAAGTTTTCGTCGAGGAGGACATCATCAGATTCTGCTATATTGTGGAGAGTCCGTTCTCTTAGGGATGTGTGACGATGCGGCACTGATGATCTCCCATGTTGAGTGGCCCCTCCTTGCTGCACCCCCTCTATGGGTTCAGTACCAGTTGGTGTATCCATTCTTTTCAAACTCTTATCTGAAGATAGAGAACGCTGCCTCACAATACGCTGTTCTGTTCGATCGAGGATGGTGTCAATACCTTCCAGTTCCTCAGGATACAGGCCTTCCAGCTCTGCAGGAAAGAGGCAGTGCACAAGGCATTACCGTGACAACTGATCAGCAATATTCCTAATGTTACCCTGTGGTCCCCCAACAGCAGACACTCAAAATAAGTAAAACCCAGACTTTAGTTGGGATGTCCTTGTTGGAAGAGAGAAGTGATGAGAAGTAGGAGAAGAAGGAGAAAGAGCAGCAGAAGTAATCAGTGAGGGAGAAGGGAAAGAGGAGAAGCTAAAGAAGAAGGAAAATGGAGAAGAGAAAAGAAAGAAAGTAAAATAAAGATGAGAGTAAGATGGTGAAGGATGGGGATAAAGAGTGTAAAGAAGCAGAAGTGGATGAAGAAGGAAAAAAGCTGGAGTTAAATAGAGCAAGAAGAAGTGTGATGAGAATAATGAGGAGCTGATGGTAATGGAGGAGGAGGAGGAAGAGAGAAGGAAGACTCATGAGAGGAAAAAGACACCACTGTGTTCAGAAAAATAAACTTTTAAGGATTCTTGAAAAAGGGGATTAATTGACACTGAACTTCACTTCTCCATCTTTGAACCTGATGAATCATGTTAAGGCTGTACTAACCAAATTCGATCTTTCTCCTTGGCCATGAAAATTCTTCAGCCATTGGCGATGAAGGCACGGAGCCCATAGACATTCTCCTGTGTTGGGCCACCATGCTGGTGATACGACGAGCCTTCAGGTGGCGCAGCTTCAACTGGTCCCTCATCTCTTGACAGTGGTCATCAATCAGATTTGGGTTGTAACGTTGGTGGAACTGGAACAAACAGGCTGACCTCATACAGAACATCACCAACAAAATTTTTCATGTTCCAGCCTTCATTCCACAAATTTTCTAGCAGGGATTGCAAGAAAAGGAGTTGGAATAGTTCATTCAGTATAGTGTCTAGGTTGTAGGCTGGATGATCAAGTAAGTGACATTAACTTTCAGCAGGGGAACAAGATTTTTCTTGTTTTCACGAGTCCAAATTGCCTCTGGGGTGCACCCAGTCTCATATCTAGTGGGAATCAGGGCCTCTTTACCCAGGAGCAAAGCTGATTGCTCACATGCATCTACTGATGAGTTTAAGAATGTGTGGAGCTATACTGCAAGTCCCCCATATGTCTTCGTGGTGTGGTTCATAAACTTTAACGTCCGAATGTCACATATATAGGTTGCAAGCAGGAACCAGAGTTGGCCAAATGACCTGTATATAGGTCGCAGGACACATGCTCTCTTTGGGAGTGCTGGCAGTTTGACCTTGGGTTGGAAACCAAAACAAACCTATGTGAGGTCATGTCAGTGGTTCATTCCTTAGCTCTGAACAAAGAAATTGTGTATCACGGTACTGGTTTCAATACTATTTACGTTCAGATATGACTGTTTATGACCTGGTCAGCCAAATATAGCCCAGCTTTGTTTCGAGAACTGATGAGGAAATATTTATTGGTGCTTGCATATGAGCGCTTGCAGAGCCTTCAAGGAAGTCTGACGCATTCAAGGATTGGTTTTCAGTGGCGAATTATCAGTTAGAAAATCAGTGTCAGACTGTCATATATTTCTTTATATATCATTTTTATTTTGCGTCTTGGAAGAGGTATAAACCCACTGAGCCAGTATTACTTTGTGAGTAAAGGCATCTTTGCCACTGCGGCTTTCAGTATGTGTCAGACTGACACTCTTTTCGACTAGTATTATAATTATTTTGCATCACTATTTTGCGAATATTACCAACAGGTGAGAGTGTTGCTTTGTCATTCAACATAATTTATTTGATTTTGCTAGAAACCCCCCTCCCTCAAGATGATTCTTCAATCGCACAAGCCGAATATCATGGTCTGTGGCATTTCTTGGGGGAAGGCCAAATTTATCAGGGGGCCCAACTGTGTTGACTGGAGTTGAAAAAGTCACAACACTGGCCAACCAAAGGGAAACAAAGACTTTGTCGTGTGTTTCGCTAAATAAGAAAAGCAGGAGCACCCTCTTCTATTGTAAAAAGTGTGATTTTGCTCTGTGTGAAGTGGACTGTTTCAAGAAGTGCCACGTGTGTCAGTGTGACTATCAGAGTGAAGTGATTGAATTGAAACTGTGAAGTGACGCAGTTCAAACTCGCCTACAGTAATATTATTGTATACAGAGTGATTATATTTACAATATCACTAAGTCTCAAAGTTGAATATCACGGTCAGTGGCGTTTCTCGGGGGAGGCCAAGGTTACCTGGGGCCCAACTGAGTTGACTGGAGGTGAAACATTCACAACACTGACCAACCAAAGGGAAACTAAGACATATTTGTTCTCAAAATAAGAAGCGCAGAAGCACACTCTACTACTGTAAAAAGTGTGATGTTGCGCTGTGTGTGTCGGCTGCTTCGAGACGTGGGTTGCGCTATGCATGTTGGACTGCTTCGAGAAGTAGTACACGTGCATCGAGTGTGAGTTATCGTAAACTGTGAAGTGACGCAGTTCAAACTCACATACAGTCTGAACAAAATATTATTGTACAAGTATATAGTGTGATTATATTTACAATATCACCATGATTCAAGGCTGAAGAAAAAACAACGGGTAAGTCCTTTGGAATTTCATAACATATATAATAAAGATTATATTTTGCAATTCATGACAAAATAATCACAGTTAATTTTCATTTGTAAAAATTGCTCTTCTGTGTACATGTAGAAAATTTTATTGCCTTTCAGGTTGTTTTTAGTTTTTATTTCTATGTTACATAGAACGGAAAATATGGATTTTTTCTGACGGTTTGCAAATTTAATTAATCAGAGTGATTTAAATACCGGCCGCAGGGGGCTCCCGGCAATTTAAAAGTCCATACGTTGTAGGTTAATTAAGCATATGAATCGAACCCCAGTCCCCTAGTCTGTACCACATCACTACACTGATTGAATTATCCCAATTCACAGAATCAAATCTTGTATTAAAACCTGGTGTCCAATTTCCAATTTCTTTAAGGACCAGTGTATCTGAACACTAAACAGTGGAAGACCTTGCACTGAGATAACTGACTTGGGATCATTGAAATTAAATGTTAAATGAGGGAAAACACTGAATTTGGACCCTACTGCACTTGGTCCCATTTATCAAACTGTGACTCCACAGACAGAAGTTCATACAACAGGGCAGAGACCACAAAGGAACAGGTCAAACCCTCACCTTGTGATATGCATTGGTGCTGAATGCCCTGCGGAGGGTGCCAGTGGTAGCTTTCTTGTCTTGTTCCAGGTGTGACTTTAGCTTGTCCCGAAGCTCCACCCCAGGGAACAAGCTTGACCTGCGATATGACGAGGACCTGGTACTCAGCGGCGGTGGCAAGTCATCGGGCTCTTCACTATGAAACAGCAGTGTCTTCTTGTCCTCAATCAGAGTCGCAGGTCCATAAAGGTGTGCAAAATGTTCCCTAAGTAATCCACACACACATGTAAGTGGCTTACAGTTGCAATGCTGCTGTTGCATGTGTCAGCAAATTGTTTTGAATAAAGAAGAGGATGGTGGTGAAATACATGACGCTGAGTAAATATTGTAATGATGACATTTGCTGCAAGAAGTTCATAGATTCCTCTAAACAGCAGTACTGCTTAACACATACTGCTGCTATATCAAACTTAGTACCTAAGTATATGCAAACTGTAACTTCTTTCCAGAATTTTTTGAATTTATAGCATGCACAGTGAAATTGTAATTGTGTGATTTTTCACAATTTTCCCTTGTCTCTCCGAAGCAAATGACATGACAGTACCTCAAATTAGGCCATGACCACTTCCTTTCACATCCTTTTAATTCATTAGTGACTAATCATCCTACCATTCGGTGCTATATATTAACTATTGACAGCATACTTAAATATATCATAAGTCAGTATATTAGTAGTAATAATATTGTTCAGGCACTTGGAGGAACTCCATTTGCCAGCTAACTTCCTGATATATTTTCACAATATTATTCTCTAAATTTAAAACAGTGTACAACTGAGAATGGTCTTTATTCTTCATGGATTTTCCCCTATTGCATAAGAGAAACAATGGTGATGGATAAATCAACAAGATGTGTAAATGGGCCACTACATGATCATGGCCAATGATTAATCAAAAAGTCAGTATGGCATCTCCTCTTGGAAAATAGGACTTATATCCTGTCATTCAATGATATATGTGAACTACATAGTTAAGGCATAGTTTAATACATCGTAAGTCAATATATTGTTTCAGTTTTCTGCAGTAAAGCTGTTACTCACGTCAAACTCAGTTTCTCGTACAGCCGTGTCAGATCATGGTCTGGACCAGGAGACAGGAATATTTTCTTCAAGACTGAGTCATCAAACTGTTCCAATTTTCTCTGTAAAAAAAAAGAAAAAGAAAAAAAGAAAAAATGTTATTTTCTCTGAGGAAAAGAAAACAAATGTTTCTTAGGACAGAATATAATGCAGTATGTGGTTCTTCAGTCCTCAGCAATTCTGTATATATGTTGAAGAACATGCTGTTCATAATTTAACCAAAGTTAAGAGCAACCATACAGGTGAGGATGAGAATTGAGGTAACCTCATGCTCAGGTAATCTTCATCTTGCATAGAATTATAATTACATAAGAATCTTTCATGCATGTTCAGTTCTTATAGAAATGTAGCAGCACTAATATATATATAATCTGATTTTTAAGCATGACACAGAAAACAGAGATATTAGGAATAAGACATACACAGATTATGAATGCTTAAAGGAGTTAACAGATGGAAACATTACAGCAGTTTGAACATGTTAAAATAGTGGATGTAGACAGAACAATGAAGCCAAGACAAAATAAGGACAACTGATACCAGCAAAGCATTAACACTTTCACACCCACATTCAAGCACTAACATATGCTCCATATTTCAGGTTTCACATGCATGCCTAACCACCATTAATTGTTCTTATTATTCTGTCAACTCACATTTCTTGATATACACAAATACTCAGATGATCAGAAAACATATAACACAAGCATATTCAGTGTTTAAAAGAAGCAAAGAGTGATCAATTTTGGAACAAGCATATTCAGAGGTTGGTCCTGAAATTGTTCAAGGATATGAACAGAAGCGTGTGCCCCTGTGCATAAATACCATTTCATGGATGCATATAGGGGGACTGGAGTTAAATCTCCACATATTTGAGACTCTGGTACTACATAGGTCGTACTGAAAGTCATGAGCAACCTCTTTTTGCATGCAACCTGGGAACAGCAGACAAAAGAGAGTATGGTGGTAGGTGGAACCAGCTGTTGTGTTAACCTTGAGTGTTTTGTGACGTCAATATCTTGCATCACGTGACCAGTATCACTCCTAACAAAATGGCCGACAATGATATGTCATTTTGCCAGCATGCTGTCATTGAATTTCTTGTGAAAGAGGAAATCCCTGCTGCAGAAATTCACCAGAGACTTCAGCATGCTTATGGAAGTGTGTGCATGGGTGCGAGCAGTGTTCGAAGATGGGTGAAACATTTTAAAGATGGGAGCACCAGCATCGAAGATGAGCCTTGCAGCGGTCGTCCTCGAACAGCCTCAACTGAACGCAACAAGGAAAGAGTGGATGAGATCATTCAAGATGACAGGCATGTGACTGTGGACACAATAGCCTGAAAACTTAGAATAGGGCACAGTGCAGTACAAGAGATTATTGAAAGCTTGGGCTATAGGAAAGTTTGTGCTCGTTGGGTCCCGCGGTTATTGACCAAAGACCACAAAGGTCAGCAAAAAGCCATCACCTCAGAACTGATGCAGAGATATTGACACGAAGGTGATGATTTTTGCTCTGTATTGTGACAGGTGACGAAAGCTGGTTTCACCATTTCAAGCCTGAAATGAAACGGCAGAGTATGGAATGACACCATTTGCATTCTCCATCAAAAAAGAAGGCAAAGACAGTGCCATCAGCTGTGAAGGTGACGGGTACAGTCTTCTGGGATGCAGAGGGGTTTATTCTGGCTGAATTCCTGGAACCTGGGCAAACCAGCAATGCTGCTCGTTATGTCCAGACGCTGCACAAGCTCCGTCGTGCATTGCATGATAAACATCCGGGACGAAACATCATCATCCTGAATGACAATGCTCGCCCCCATGCTGCTCGTCTCACATTGGAAGCAATTGCAAAGATGGGGTGGGAAGTTCTTCCACACCCCTCCTATAGCCCTGATCTGGCACCCTCCGACTACCATCTTTTCGGATTTGTGGAGGATCAGCTGCGTGGACAACGTTTTGAGACAAGGGAAGCAATTCAGAAAGGAGTGCATCAGTGTCTTCGGATGTCTGGAACGGAATTTTACAGAAGGGGAATTTTCAAACTCTCAGAACACTGGGAGGAATGAGTACAAAGAAGTGGTGATTATGTGGAAAAATAAAGAAAGGTCTGTAGATTGAGGTGGTGTATTTGGTTTATCAATAATAAAGCATATCACTTCACAAAAAATTGTTGCTCATGACTTTCAGTACGACCATTGTAGATGGAAGTGACTGATCAATTTCACGAACTTCCTATTTTATGACTTTGGAAAGAGTCCACTTATCCATTAGATAGGGGAACTGGATGTGTCAGCACATATTGGTGACAAAAGTAAAATTGCATTCCTGTCCTGGGATTTACCAAATCCCATTCATTTAATTTCCTGCCTGACTCCCCTACTGAATGCAAATTATTTTCCATGAAAATTAAAACCATACACTTAGTTTAGGAAAAATACACAAGTCCTGCCACCCATCGTTCCGATATGCAAGCTACCAGAAGAGATGTCATAGAATACAGAGAAGAACAAAGATATAAAATTAAGCATGTGATTGTAAATTTGTATAAAGTTGATGGCAGAAAGCTCCTGACATTGAACATACACAAGAACATCACAATGTTAGACGTTACAAAGACAGAAACAACACCGTCCAGTACGACTATTTAAATTTTATCACTTGAAAACTCATCACCCTTACATGTTTCGATTCCTATGGATCATCCTCAGAGAGCAACAATACTTTTTCTGGAAACTTTTACATTATTGATGCCCTCTGAGGATGATCTGTAGGGATCGAAACATGTAAGGGTGATGAGTTTTCAAGTGATAAAACTTAAATAGTCACACTGGACGGTGTTGTTTCTGTCTTTGAAATTGTTAGTGTGACGGACCAGAATGAAACAAATCAAATGTTAAACGCATTCTGACAGATGATTTAGAGCCCCAGGTTTCCAACCTGCTGCCAGTGAGTTCACTGAATAGCCTGTCCTAGCTCATCTACTCTGGTAGAAGATGAAATTATGTGGGATGATGCGGAGGCTTTCTATCCACGAACACACTCACTGGAGAAAGTGATGTCAGAAGAAAAGGAGGTGTAAGACTATTTCAGACAGGCCATGGCTGAAGGTCAGATTAACAGAAATGTTCTGATGACAAAGAAACTGAACTTACTCTAATATAGAAGTCGCCTCTAACTCCAGTGATTTCTTCAATGCCAGCCATCATGGTGCCGATCACCTGGAACACATAACATATCACACAAATTTGCCAGCATGATTATAATATTCCTGAAAATATTGCATTCTGAAGAAGTTAACAAATATACATATAGCATGATAATTCTGGCACATTTGTTCAACTAACAAGCATTTAGATTTATGTACAGGACACCCTGACCTGTGATAACCCTTCTACGATGAACGTTTTCTGAAAGGGTTTCTTTTCTTATCACATGTCATAGCACCTTATAATCTCCAATACTTTAAAACTGTAAAGATATGTTGAGACACAACAGATGGGGACCTTTTGCCTCATATCATACATGAACACAACTGATGGACAGAGAAATTATTTTAGTGTGATTTATCTCATTCATAATAGCAAATGATTGTCTGCTTGGGAATTACAGGAGTAACGAGAACAGCTCCAACAGCTGCAATTGAAGTCCTCCTTGGAGTGCCCCCACTGCACCTCCAGGTGGAAGCTGAGGCCAAGGCAGGAAATTGCAGACTAAATTGCAATGATCAATGAAAACCCAAATCCGAAGGCTATGGACATGCTTACATGACTCAGGACATGAAGAAGAACCCATCCTACAAATGGGGTCTGAAAAAATGATACCAAGACATGTCTATGATAAACTCTTCATGATCAGATTCCGTGATAGAAGTGATTGGAAAGAGGGGCTTCAGCCTGACAGAAAAGGGGGGGCTAATCTCATACACAGATGGCTCCAAGACAAATAAAGGCACTGGAGCTGGGGTATACTGCCAACTCTGCATGAAAAATGGATATTTTCTATAATTTTAAGGCAGTATACATTTGTGGGGCACTCTTGTCATTACTCCGATGACAACCCACTTCTTCGGAACAGTTTTTTGGCCCTGAAAAGGACCGTGGCTGCTGAGATGATTGACCGGTGAGGTAGCGCGGCGCGCNCATAAGACTATCATACATTTTCAGGCTCTTAGTGAATTTTGTTTTGCAAGTATACTTCCCACTTGACTTTCTCTAATTTGATCCAAAACAGGTACTGCACACACAGATTTCTTCTGCTGGTGTAGTAAGTGGGAGTCATACTTCCCATGTATTAAGAAGGAACACAGCATTCTTCCCACTGAGTAAGTGCGAATCACACTTCCCACTACAACCTTCTCACAATACATTATTGGGAAGCACATGTCCCATCTTAAACTACAATCAAAGTCTACTTTTGATAAAATTTAACTATAATAAGATTAAATGGAATTAGGACTGTTCCAGTCTGAAAAATTACATGGCCACCATGATGGAAGGTAGCATTAATAGCTGACACTGAAATCACTGAAGGAAGGGAACTATAAAAATATTGAGACTTCACTATCTCAAATAGTATGATTTAACCATGAAGTTTAATTGAAAAAAAGCACTTCATCTGAAGTGTGGTAAGAGAGAACACACAAAAATATTATTTTTATAAATTATTCTGCAATCCACTTAGCTAGCAAGGGAGTTTCACATGTTGAGGCACGAAGCTTACATTATCATTTATTTCAATATTCAGCGTCTCCTTTTCTGATTTAGATCTTGTAATGTTCAACAAAGCCACCAGCGGTTTGATGGTGCTCCCCTGCAACACATTCAGATGGATATTGGTACCAGACACTGAAAAGCATCCTACAGGCTGGGGTGCAGTCCTAGAAATGAAAGTACCAGCTCAGTCCAGTACCCAGGTCCAGGTGGGAAGAAATGGGAATAACTCATGACATGAAGCCGTTTTAAATACCTAATGACAGTCTTACACTTCTAAATGCAGAGCTGAGTGACAAACAGCCCATGAAATGTATACACTTAAAGGACCTGACACTTCAAGCTTACAATTCAGATAACAAACAAGTTATAAGGAAGAAAGCAGTCTTCTGGGATTTTGCACCGTGTATATGTGGTGTTAACCGACGTTTCGGAGGAACGTATCGCCTCCATCTTCAGGGTAGAAGAAAAAATATATAAGAAATCTGCAAGCAAAGAGACCGTGAGAATCTGCTTTTACCGGTTCTCACGGTCTCTTTGCTTGCAGATTTCTTATATATTTTTTCTTCTACCCTGAAGATGGAGGCGATACGTTCCTCCGAAACGTCGGTTAACACCACATATACACGGTGCAAAATCCCAGAAGACTGCTTTCTTCATAGTCACCGCCGTGAAAGCCTCAAATCTTACAAGTTATAAGGACTTAATATTTCACATTAGAGTCTTTACAAGAAGTGCCAGGGTGGTGCCTCAGCACTAAAGGACACACCATGGCACCACCATGGCTCAACTACTGTCCTGTCTACTGAGAAGTCATGCAACTCATGTAACAGTATAATTTTTACACAGAAAAATAAATAAATTATTGTAAAAAAATACAAGGTATGTATTGCATAACTGTAATTTGAAGGTATTGTAGTAAGGTACTGGACTTCTGGGGCGGAGGTCTGGAACCAGATCTAGGATGGATACCTGCAGATGCATTTCCCTTCAGACATGGCAAATGTGAGGCACTAGACTGCACTGTGGTCTGAACCTAATGTTAACTTGAAGGACCCTTTGCTGAACATATTCCTACCATTTGGAGCAGTACAGTGCAGCTCACAGGCATGCACACAAGCCTACAGCATCTGGCGCTGAACCAGCCACCTGCTATTTTTACACCATCAAACAGCAACGATTAAGTACATCTATTTGTTCATGAACATTGTTTCCACAAGAAATTTACAAATACTACCCTGAAGCAGTAACACTTCTGACTCGTATTCGGCAGCTACCTGTTTAGAATCTCAGTTGGAACACCAAATATACTCACTGAGGTTTCACATTGTACTCCTCAGTCCCTCAAGACAAATGCTGGGATAATACCTCTATTAACCTATGATCATTTTCTTCCACATTCCACCCAATACATTATTCACTTATCATCCTAGCATTCAGCAATCTGAGATGCTGACAGCATCACTGAGTAAACCACAAATGAATAAATAAATAAATAATATACAAAAATTGCCAGAATGCATGAAGATTTCCTTGTTTTATTTAAATAAACAAAATTTAATTTGTCAACGTTGAAGACTGGTACATATATACAAGAACAGGTTAAATTTCAGCTTCTTGTGTGTTGTGTCTGTTAAAACCACAAATTTTTTATCACACTGTACAGTGATTTTCTTTATCATCCTGTATATTTTAGATTATCCATATTACTCATACCGACCCTGATGAAGCAGTGCTACACAGTGACTACAAATTTAAATAAAGGATTGATCTTCTATTAACTCTAGTGTCTCTGAAATCTGTTACCTTTGCTAACTACTGTTCTGGAACAGGGCGTTTAACTCCCCCCCACATGGGTGTTAGAGGCTGTATTTTAAATTTCAGTAATGGTATCTGTATTAAAATAAATGTGAAGCAAGGCCAGGTGAATTATATGCATAAGCCATCACAATAGAGCGATATATCGTAAATAAAAGTTAAGAATATTGAATCAATACAGTTACAATAAATGAAACAAAGCAACTGTATGCAATGTTGGGTTCTTGCAGCAGAGTGTTAAAACAGAGGTAAAAGAATGAGTAACTGGAATACAAAGGAAGAAAATTCATTCAACCAAATTCTCTACCTGGACGAAGACAGTGAATATAATGACGATGAGGGTCGTCGTGACGAACATCGGACGAGGCTCCACTAAGTCCGCATCCAAAGTCTCCACCATAGAGAAAGCTATGGCACCACGGAGACCACCATAAGCCATTATAAATTGCTCCTGTATGTTAATCTTCTTCACACGCAGCTTGTTGGTCAAGCACGTCAAGAGGAACACACCTGTTGAGATTTGAAGTTTTCATGGGGCTTAGTTCATGTTCCTCTGAGTTATGCCATCATGAAGATCTGTAGGTTGTTACCAACATACTGGAAGAGCACACTGCCTCCATATTCACTCTTACTCTGAAGACAGAGACAGGATGAGCCTCCAAAACACTGATAATCATCTATCAGATTACACAATGCTATAACCCAGATGAGCACGAACTAGGAACATATGTGTCCACATAACAAACCCTGACTAAATCCACTGTGGCCAAGTGGTCAACACTCATCTTCATAAGGTCCAGGGTTTGAATCTTGACTTGACGATCAGCCATCCTGAGTGAAGTATTTCTGTGTCTAGACAATAACACAATGTACTCTTATTGCTGGATATACCATAATGAGATTTAACATATAGAAAGAAAGATCTTGTCTTATATCACACCTTTAACCCTTTCATGCACAGTAACTATACATACTATGCACTTTTATGTTACAGAACTCTGCACTTTATTCACATAGTGCATTCATGGGTTTCATATGATTATTACAACACAACGTGATTATGGCCCTAAACAGCACTAACTGGCTGGTCTATGTATCACATTGCATTTTCTATGAGACAGAATCTAAACCCTTAAAAAAAGTAAAACTGTCCCTGGGCTTAATTAATTAAGCACAACACCATGAAGATATATGGGGGAGTGGAGGTGCAGCTCCATCATTCTTGACCTTTGCATTAGGTGGAGGTGAGTGGTCAGCTTTTGCCCTAGCAGCTTTACCCCAGAGAAAGAGCCCCCTGCACCAATTGGCTAGGAGGATGAGTGAGTCACAGAACTTGTCTGGACAATGTGGAGAGGAGAAGAAGCTCGCCTGTGCTGGGACTTGAACTCTGACCCCTTGACCATCCAGCTCATAGACAGTCACTGCACTGACAGTGCTATGTCAGCTCAACTACACCCTTAAACAAGACATAAATGAATTTGAGGCTTCAAAGTGACATTTCTCTCAGTGATACGTATGGTTTCTAAGCATGTTGCAGACAGAGAACAGACCTGCAAATCGGCAGACAAGGCATAGAATCAGCGTCCACAGAACAAAGCCTGTGTGCCACACATGCTGGTCACTGACGAGCACCATGCCCAGGAACAGGAAGATAATGGCGTCACTTGTTGAGCTGCAAAAACAACAATCGGCTACTCTTCCCGTATCTACAGACGATAGCTAACTGCGTTCTGCAGAGGAGCAGATGCATTCTCTATAATTTTACATGGCTTACTGGCAATACATCTATTTGCAGCATAAACTGGATAGACAAGAAATTCATAAAGAATTTTAGTAGGAAATATTTCAACAGAAGATGATATTAAAATGAAAAAAAGTAAAGCTATCCCCATACCAGACCAAGGATGTCCATACGGTTGTAAGATGTTGACAGTCCCACATTATCCAGACAATCGGCTCACATGTGGTGGTAAGGTTGTCAGCTTTATGTGCTGGCCACCCTTTACCCCCAAGGAAGATTCCTGGTACTCATTTCTGTTAGAGGCTGAGTCAACCCCAGGGCCATAGTGCAGCTGGAAGGATTAGGTCGATTGAAAAAATCCACCTCATCAGGATTTGAACCTGCATCCTTCCGACTTGTAGCATAGTGCCTCAACCAACTATGCTACTGCGTGCCCCTGATATTACAATGAATCTTAAAGAAATACAGTGTGAAGATGTGGACAGCACAGAGTCCAGCAGCTCTTGTGAGCACAGCAATGAACAATGCGGGTTACTGTCTACTGAGGCAGGACACTCTGGAGTCTAGTACAGTGCTACCAACTTTCCTGAGATTTCAGGTTCCCATGATGATGCTTATGAAGATTAGTGTCTTCTAAGATATCACAATATGTAGTCTGATAAAAGTTTACTGATGCTTTGAATAAACGTTCTGCCTCCATATCCAGGTCATGCTTCTATCCTGAAGACTGATGTAGTTGTTTCCTCCAAAACATCAGTAGGCTTCTACTAGGCTATACGATGGTCACATCACAGGAGACAGTGCTCTTCACAGTCAATGCTCTGAGATCCTGAAACTTCACACAGCAGCCGATGAAAGAAACTGCCATTCCAATTAGTGTATAAATGCCAAATGTGGGAGCAAAATGGTTGAGCTGAATCTCATGGTAATATACAGCTACCGTTTCACTATATTACTTGTTACCTTACCTCAGCATTTTTGTGAAATACTTGACTGTTGTGTACGATTTCTGGGATATGTTCTTGAGGGCATAGTGAGCTTGCACCAGGCCACATATTATGATACTGCAAGCAAACAAGTGGCATCAGTACCATCACAGCCAGTAGTTTGAGACTTACTTTACATTTCAAAAGGGTGCTGAGTTGTCAAGGGACTGAAACTAAGGGGCTGGATGGTGCTGATGAAGTAGGAACATTAAGCTTCTTGCAAATTTCCCTGAAACATTAGTACACATTGGTAACACCACCATTTTCTATATGTATTTAAATGGCAAATGAGATTTTATTGTACTTCATTAGAACAGAAAAGATCCTTTAAATTTTACTTGTGTTAGTTAGAGTAAAATGTTAAATGGAAGTAAAAGTAATGTACAAAAGAGCAGTGTTTGAGAAACCAAAACCAAGTGGTACAGCCATCAAGGAGAAGTGGAACATGACAAAGAGACAGAGAATGAAAGACGTGAAGAGAAGATATTGAAGAGGTATTTACGGTTGACAGGGAGAAGCCTAACACCAAACTTTATAATAATAAAGGAGAAAAATGAGGAGCTGGAAGAGGAGAAGGAGAAGAGGCAGAGCAGAAGAAGGTGTTTGAGAACATCAAGGCTCAAACTATGGTCTGTGGACAGGAGGATGAAAAAGAATAAGGCTGAAATGAATTAAATTTCCCATAAGAAACTTATTATATAGACTTAACAATGACAATTTCTAGCATTTTGCATATTACAATTTATGAATCAGTTGTGGATCCACGATTATACCTGACAGATGTAATGAAGATTAATTAATATATATTTGAAATTTTACAATTTGGAAAAAGAAAATGTAAATCCAGGCGGAACTGAATCATAGCTCTCACAACATAAGATTATACAGTATATTACTCCTGGCACATACCTGATAATGCCTGAGAAATGGAACAACTCAGCTGATAAATATGAGACATATGCAACACCTAGAACTGCTAAAGGCTCCACCACTGCAATTGGATTTCAATAAAATGCCATATTAGGAAACATTAATTTCCAGCAACAGTTATATGTAGCAATCTGCGTAGAACGGTCAGATTCACTGCACACTTAACAGCCAACTGAAGTTCTGGCAGCAGAACCCAAAGGTTCAACACAGCTGAGCCCAAAGCCTGCCACTGGACATGATTCTTTAAACCTTTAAGATCAAATTAAACAGCAATGCATGACTGTAATGCTGCTGGACTTTTTAAGCTCTTTAATCTCTTGACCACATGAATGTCAGGAAAAGCACACATCTATATTTATAATAAAAGTATACACATTTTTTAAATAATGTCACTTATTATATCAGCCTCTGAAAAAACGAGTACCATTAATCTTCCTGAGGGTAAGGCTGACAACCTTACTACTATCTCTCAGCCAACTCTCTAGAAAATGTGCGTGCCTCAACATCTCACAGCCCTGTGGGCCTCCATGGCCTGTTAGAAGGATATCTTTACCTTTAATTATATAAACACAAAAAGAAATTATTTAATATTTGAAACTTTCATGGCAAATCAATATGCTGGAGATTTTTCAGGTGATCAGCCATGTCAATGTTGAATTACACACTAACATTTCAAGGGACATCTTTCATCTTCATCATCGACCCTGAAGACTGAGATGGAGGAGTTCCCTGGAACTCAACATTGATGCAAAAGATGTTGGCACATAAACTTATTGTACAACAGAAACAAAATGAAGCTTTGCAACAGACATCAATTCGAAAAGTTTATACAAACGGATATTTTATTTGTTGCAGTCAAGTACACACAGTTGAGAACCACCGTTTTAGGAGTACAATGTATAAGGGGTGAGCCTTCTTGGCCCTTGCACCACGACCACAGTGATCTATTGTAACCGCCACTGATAACTTAGTGTAATCATTAAGCTTTAATTGCATGACACATGGCAGTTTTTCTGCATTGGTTGGTGGCCACAGCAATACAGGGCTAACGTGATACTGAAGCTGAACTAACTCTGGCACTGATCACCCCAGCAAGTTCTTCAACTGCAAATTCATGACGAGTGTAAATTGACCTCTACTTTATTTCTGTAATAAACATGAAGGCCCTTCTGCTTAACCCTGTGACAGATACATACCTCGGCACTCCTGCGTGGTCCTGGTGATGAGGGCAGTAAGAAGGCCAAATATGGCACCCACAGCTATTCCCCCACAGCTCACAGTGAAGAAAGCAAGTATCGCCAACCCATACTGCCCAACAGGAATTTCTGGCATTTCACAAAATGTGACCATTGTGTTATATAGGACGATTGTCACTGCATCTGTAAGCATAAAGATTGTCATATTGAACCTGAAATTCTCAGAGCAGGGACTATGAAGATTACTATTGTCTGAAATATGATGCTGGGTAGTCTGGTGGAAGTTCACCTATATTTCGGAGGGTCAAAATGTAAGCAAGCAAGTAGTGAGAGCAGATATAGGCCTGGGAAGGGGCTCTGAGAGAGCCATTAGTTATTCCTCTTCTTGATTCTATTGGTTAGCTCTGGGCTCCTTTCCAGGTCTGCATCTGAAACAGGTATTTCACACATGACTGCTTGCTTGACTTAGTCATCAACCCTGAAGATAGAGACATTGTGTTTCTTAGAAATTCTGGTGAACTTCTATAGGACTCCATGATGTCACATTCTAGATCTTAATGAGATATATTTGACTTACTCATATTTCTGAACATTTACCACAAACTGCAGCGAGTTATGCAGTGAGAATAGACTCAGTAATCAACAAGAAGTTATTGAAAAAAATTGATCTTGTACAGGCTACTAGGGCCCATTAATTCTGAGTTATATGGCATAAGAGATTCCGAGAGGGATGTGTGTCACTACAAGATGATGCTCGCCCAGGACAGGTTCATTGTGTTATCACTCTTGATGTCATTGCTGCGTTGGATGGTCATATCCAGGCAAACCGATGGATCACTGTGGAAGAAATTAGTTTTTGTTGGGAATAAGTCACGGTTCCATACAGGCCACTGTGACAAAACACCTGCTGTACCACAAAATGTGCATGCAGTGGGTTCCACATCAACTCACGGAGGAACAGAAGACTCAGAGAATGGCTGCATCACTGGGTCACTTGCAACAATACCATGAGGAAGAGTATGCTTTTCTTTCCTGTACTGCCAATGGGGATAAAACTTCGTGCCACCATTTTGAACCCAAGAGCAAATGGCAGAGCCAACATTGGAAACACGTGAATTCTCCCCCACTGAACAAATCCAAAGCCGTACACACAAGTTCCGGTAAAGAGATGATGACCTTCTTTGACTGCAAGGGCCCTCTGCTTGTCGAATTTCTCGAGCATGGAGCCACAATCAGTGCACAGCGCTACGAAGACACTTCACAGAAACTGAGACATGCCATAAAGTCAAAACGCCCTGGAATACTATCGAACGGCATTATTCTTCTTCATGATAATGCCACATTGCCAACTCTGTGAGGAATACACTACAGAGATTTGATTGGGAAGTGCTTCAACATCCCTCCTACAGCCCAGATCTCTCCCCATGTGATTTTCACATTTTTGTAGACCTGAAGAGAGACATTCGTGGACATCAGTTTGCATTGGATGAAGATTTGCGTGGCTGGGCAAAGATGTGGTTCCGTAGACAGCTCACAAGCTCTTTCAAGGATGGGATTGACTGTCTTATTTCCCACTGGGATAAATGTATTAACAGTTTTGGATATTACTTTTGAGGTAAGAAATGCTCTTTAATATGTTTTGGCATCTGACCAGTTTTCGTTTGACTTCCCCTCATATTTTATGTCATATACTCACACACATATTGAATGAGACAGGAAATTTCAGTCAGTATAGTGACATGCTATAAGCTTGACAGCCAGGATTCAATTACTGATAGGGATAAGAGATATTTCTGCATTCCGGAGCATCCAGACTAGCTCTGGGCCCCACCCAGCCTCCTATACAATGGGTACCAGAGGCTCTTTCCCTAGGGGTAAAGTGGCCAAGGCATGAAGCTGACCACTCACCACCACCTATTGCTGAGATCAAGAATAGTGCAGCTATACCTCCACTCCCCCATATGTCTTCATGGCGTAGTGCTTAATTAATTAAGTGCAGAAACAACTTTATATTTTATATATACATATATTAATATGAAGGTAGGATAGCCCTCTTGGTATAGTGGAGAGGTAACAGTCTGAACGGGAGACTAAGAGGCAAGAAACTTTCTCTCTACCACATCCAGACTGGCTCTGGGGCCCAGCCTTGTATCAACAGATACCGGGGATTTGTCCCCAAGGCCTAAAGCAGCCAGAGCATGAAGCTGACCACTCACTTCCTTTTAGTGGAGATATACTTCTACTACCCCACACATCTTCATGGTGTGTTCTGTAATTAACCACTGACAATTTTACCTTTACTTCATACATGCATATTCCATTTTCGCACACAATTCCAATTACCAGGACGCTGTGAGATATGACCTCAAAATTCTCCACCATTCTCATGTTTGTAGCCAAGCAGTTATTTAGTTAGTTATTCACTTGGTGTGTCAGTCATTCTGCAAGTCAATTAATTTGTCATCCAGTCAGTAACAAAAGTTATTGCTCAGTTCCCAGTCAGTTGGTTGATAAGTCAGTCCTTCAAGCAGAAAATCAGTCAGTCAGTCAGTAAGTCAGTCTTGTTCATTCTTACCATTGAACAGCGACTCCCCAAACAGCAAATAATACAGATCCTCATTTACTCCTACTTCCTGGAAGATCGCAAGAACTGCCACCGGATCAACGGCCGAGATGAGTGCAGCAAACACCAGACAGTCTATTAAGGTAAGGCGTTCCACCATGGGCCCCATTAGTCCAAAATGCCGCAGCAGGAACAGAAGTGGACCTGTAAATTTCAAGGTGTCTTACTGGTAGGACTGACAGAACAGTATTTTATGTGTAGCTTAACGTCCATGTATTTATCGTCTGTCAATATTGCAACAGTTGTTTATTCACTACTTAATCTTAATCTTAGTTTAACATTTTACACTTTGACACAACATGTTTCGGCCCCAAACGACCATCTTCAGGTGTCTTGATATGTTACAAACATTTTATTAAAATATGTTAAAACTGCTACATTGTGTTAAAATCACATGCTGTAGTTCTGTTTCCAAGGTAAAACATGATAAAATCCATCAAAATTTCTATTTCACCTCACAAGGGGTGACATCCATTGTACACAAATGTATGCCTGTCCCAGGTGTTTTGTTTTGGCAGCTTGCCTTCACATTCATAGCCTACTTTTCAGTTATGTCTGCAATGTGCCCCAGGTGTGCATTTCCTCCACAGCATGTTGTGTTGTCTTCGCTAGTGACTAGTAAAGACACAACCACAGATGATAAATACACGGACGCTCAGTTAAACAATTGCAACAGGATGCTAAAATACAGAATTTTATGTGTAGGCTGATGCACATTTTATTCTCATCAACTGCAAGGTTTAGGTCTATCGACCTGTTGTGATCTTCAGGTTAGAAGAAATGATCCTTCCATCTTCTTCATGGTTGACTTCTCTCTTCTTCCTTTAGAATGACAGTTAAACAGTTTCTGATGAATCTGATTAGTTGGCACTCTTGAAATATGTATTATTCTTATGGGAAAATGAGGCAGCTTATTATGAGTTTAAAAACACAAATACGAAACATACAATAAACAATAAACATATTAATAATATTGGTTTAAAAATATGGAAACAAAATCTCAATCTCCTTCTAGCAATGTTTCCTTTTAATATGGGACAATGAACAAATACTCTCCTATGTCTTCCACTTAACCAGTCATTCTGGTGATACATGATACTGACATAGAACCTGAGAGAGCCCAACAAAAGCAATGAAAGTGAGGGCTAATGAGCTCCAATGAAGCTGTTACAGGCCCAGCAAGCTAGCAACTGATAATAGTACAACTTTCAAAATGAAGAAAAGCCTCAGGAATAAATGTTAAAAAAAAGATACTAATTAGAAAATAGGGAGCAAATGGGAGCATAAAATAATAATGAATCTTACAGAAAATGGCTGTGGGCTGAACTGGCTGCAGATACAGCCAACTGGAGGTATGTCTACATACATGGAAATAATTACTAGCAGCTTCTCAAGGATGAGCCTGTATGATGCAACTTTTCTGATGTCTTTGAATGTCCAGGCACTGAATATTAGCATTAGGCTATGTTTACACCTCACAAAGAGATGAACAGTCACAGCAAAAAGTTACTTACCTATTGTGAATGTATTGAATAGTGTCCCCTGAAAAAAAAAATCCATTATGAGAATTATAGTAACGTAATTTTTATGAGACTTTAGGTGATGATGATGGTTCATGAGTTGTGGGAGAAGAGAAAGTTCAGATCATTTTCAAAGAGAAGAGCACGATTCTTGGGGATCTGATGCCATTCACTTTAGAAACTAGAACAATTTTTATATAAGACAGTATAAAGTTAATTAAATACAAATCTATGTCAGATTGTAATATGGTCTAACATTTGATGAAGTACTCGGTGAAAACAGCAAGATGAATTTTAACATGTTAAGCATGTTAAAAATTTTTATAAAACTGGCTGTATATGGGTATGTAAAAAGTATGAAACAATTAGAATAAAAATGGAAAAACTTTAGATCAAACAAAATCAATTAAAAATAAATCAGTTACAACTCAACCCTTACATCGAAGTACAGGAAAGATGCTAGACATGGTACTTGTGTGTAACATGCACAGGGTACTCACCACAACTGCATACAGCATAATGGTGCTGAGATTGTAAGAAAATGCTCTGTTGTACAGGGAATAGGATGACTCCAGCACAACCCTGGAACAATATTTCATGCAATTAATGTCCTGATGTTTGAGGTTTCACAGTCATGAAGATAAGATTGTGGTCTTTTCGATTATGGCACCATGTAATTTTGTAGGTAAGGCATAGGGTTCAGCAGATGCTGACAGCCATAACCAATAAACCAATCTATGGAGATGTCATTCCAGAACATTTTAAATACACCTGTCACTGTATCCTGAACATCTTCCTTTGGATATTCAGTCTATATTTGCATTTTGAAGGTGCTATCTGGAATGAGGTTTCTTCACAGCTTTCCTCAGTCCCTCTGGGCAATGCTTGGGTGACAATACCTCAAGCAATCAATGACCACATCTTTATAAATCTTTTCATCATTCATTTTACTATTCAATGCTACATATTCTAGCTACTGACAAAATCATAAAATAACCAAAACAAAAGACGCATATATGCATGAGAACACACTCATGCAAGTTTACCATGTACCTACGGTGGTAGCAGTATGAGGAAGAAGAGACGAGGTGTGAAAGTTGGAAATGTGATGTTGTCGCCACCATTCAGACGCTTCTCCCCTGGAAGTGAAACACCACTGCCACTGGACAGAAAAAAATTTCTAACTTGAGTCACCGTAAACCTTACATTACATGTTTAACTGTATTGAAACTACACCACATTCTATCTGCAGTCCAGGAGCATTCTGAAAGTGCTGCACATTTTAGGAGGGGGTTATCGTGAAGACAATGCAGATGAGAGGAGAGGAATTCTGAAATTCAAAATATGTTGCAAAACTATCATTTATTTGCATTGACTATAAGCATATTTTACAGATATGCCAAAAGACATAATAATAACATCATTAACCCCACAAAGCAGGGGCCAGGATAGCTCAGTCAGCATAGTGACTTGACTATGAAATAAATATCCAGGCAATAAGAATTCAATTTCTGGCAGGAGAGGCAGAGATTTCTCTACAGTATCTGAAATAACTCTGGGACCTTCCCAGAGGGGTAAAGCAGCTGGGGCATGAAGCTGACCACTCACCTCCATCCCAGTATGAGGTTAAGGATGTGCAGAGTTATACCTCCACTCCTCCACATGTCTTCATGACATAATGTTTTGTTTTTACTTTTATGAGGGGGGACCCAAACATAACCGGAATTTATTTTTGTTATTTTTTATTTTTGCATTTTTATTGAACTGTATATTAGTCCCCTTCAAAGTATTGTCCATGTGCATTAATGCACTTGTCCCAACGCTTTTGCCACTGCTCAAAACAGTGCTGGAATTCTTGAGGCTGGATACTGTTCAAAGCCTTTAGCGTGTTTTCTTTGACTTCATCCACATCACGGAATCGCTTTCCTTTCAGACTTCTCTTCATCCGTGGAAACAAAAAAAAGTTCTGGATCGTTCTGCACTTCACTCTTCAAGTCGCGGCAAACATTCACGCGGTTTTCTCTTTGGTCATCTCCGAGCAAGCGAGGAACAAATTTTGCAGACACCCATCTCATGTGCAAACCTTCAGTTAAAATTCGCTGGACCGTGCTCCATGAGATGTTCGTTTCCTCAGAAAGTTGGTCAATGGTCTTTCGACGATCTTCATCAATTGCATGTTTGATTTTGGCAATGTTTTCGTCATTTCTTCCTGTCGAAGGACGCCCGGGGCGTGGCATGTCTTCTGTTGACATGTTGCCAGATTTGAAACGGGAAAACCACTTGTAGACCTGTGATTTCCCCAAAGCATCATCATTAAAGGCTTGCCGAAGCATCCCAACAGTCTCGGCTGCAGTTTTCCCTAACAGAAAGCAAAATTTCACGCACACTCTTTGTTCCTTCTGGTTGGCCATCTCACTAATCACCAAAGGGTTGAAACAGGAACCCACACAACAGAGCACCACAGACAAATCACTTAACTCAGACTGACGCCAGCTCACTAACAGTCACGGGAGACCCCCAGCTAACACCACCTAGCAGCACAACTCGTAACTACAAAGCATGCGCACGCAACAGGTCGGTTCCGGTTATTTTTGGGTCCCCCTTCGTATGCATTAAAGCACAACAGTAACTATATGAACCACTTGCCTTAACCCTTTACAGCCCAGTGGTTACTACACGTACCATCTGCTTCAACACACCAAAGCTCTGTATTCTGCCCACAGAGTATATCTGTGTGTTCCGCATGGTTCTCACAATAAACAGTGACTGTTTCCCTGAACAGCATTAACTGGTTGGCCTTTGTAGCGGAGGCGCAATGTGTTTCCTGTGAGATATGGACTGAATCTTTATATATTATTTAGTTGAAATTCAGTCTTTAAAGAGCTGATATTAAAAAAAACTCCAGATTCTTCCTACATGGTGTATTTACATGTTCTGTATGATCCTTTCCTAAACAATGACTGCTGCTCTGGATGCCATTAACTAGTTGGTAGTCATAATGAGACTGCAGCATGTCTCTTTGTAGTAGCAAAAATGAACTTTCTGTTTCAATTAAAATAAATGTTACTGTTATTTTCAACAATGTCCACTGTCTTGAATTACTGCAAACACAATGATTCAGAAATCAGGCCCATTTCTGTCATCAGGTGTAAGGAGGGAGATAGTTTTGGGCTACTCACTAGATAATTCCTCCAACAGTAACGCCAACAATAATCATCAGGCTGAAAACAAGAACAACAGTAAATGTGTTAAGTTGGTAATTGTCACACAAATTTATGGTAACATTTTAGCATACACTTTTTGCACAAATATATGAAATGAATGCAGAACACAGAGGTCATATGCATGCAAATTTATGTGATTCATCTCAGAAAGCTCTTAACAGAAACTGATTAAATTTGGTACTGGAGATCAATACTATAAGTTAAGCAAGTAAAACATAAAGCTTAAATTCAATATTATCATTTTTTTTCAGTGGGTCAATATATATATAATACTGATACATGAGATAAAACACTGATCTCGTATGTCTTCAAACATTTATTTCGAATATGTCTTGGTGAAAAGGCTTGAATGGGCTGGACATATAATACGTGCCAGCGAGAATAGAACCATCAAGAAAATGCTTAACACCAAACCAGAAGCAAATAGGAGAGCGGGAAGACCAAGGTTAAGATGGGAAGAATGTGTGTGGCAGGACATAAGAATTTTGGGTATAAAGAGCTGGAGGAATGTAGCATCGAATAGAGAAGAATGGCGAGCAATCCTGAGGAACGCCAGGGCTCACAAAGGGCTGTCGTGCCAGTGATGATGATGATGATGATGATGATGATGATGATGATGAGTTGCTAGATGAACCACCTGCTTTAACAACAAAAACTCTGTGTTTCACCCACAGGGTGTATTTACATGTTTCATATGAGTCTCACAGTAAAGAGTGAATGTTTCCCTTAACAATATTAACCAACTGATCTTTCTGATAAAATCACAGTATTCTTTGTGAAGTAGGAAGTGAATTTTTGTATGTTATTTTCATAAACTTGAAGCTTCAAAAAAAATGGTAATGAAATATAAGTAACAATAAATGCATGATTTTGTGGTGTTATTCAAGGGAGATGGCATCAAGGACAGGTGTTGATGTATCATTTAGTATCATGCAGGAAATGAATAAGGGAGAAAGCAGGGAAAGTTAACAGTATGAAAGTTTATATAGTAAATGACGAGACTTTCCCTTGTATTCTCAGTGAGTCTTATTATAGTTTTCTTGAATACAGCTGGAACTAACACACTGCATCCAGAAAAGCTATTGTATTCAGATGAGAGAGTTCCTGGTGAAAAATAATTCACCAAATATCAACAAATAAGAAGTTCTTACTCACTCCAAGTATTAGGAATTAGTTTGCTTGGCCACATATATAGCTCTCTCCATCCCTTCCTCTGTCTTCCCACATCTCTTTTGTGCTATAATTTGTAAATTATAACTTATTTAAGAATGTAGGTTCCATCCATTCTCTGAAGAAGAAGTTTAATCTTCTGACATTTATGCTTATTTTTTACTTCTTTGAATACCAAATTTTTTTTAACACACTTTAAAAATATTTTGTCTTTTACAGAATGAAAAATGTCACAGTATAATATATTTCTGAATACCACCAGAACATAAATCATGGCAAGAACTAAAATTTGTATGCTGTTTATTTATAAACAAATTACCTCACAATTACTTACCATGACTCTGGAATATGTTCTGCGATGCTGTTTGCATGATGGAATGCTGAAAATTAACAAAAGACTACACTATAACAAACAGCAACTGAGAAAACCAGGATACAGAGTGAATAACTGAGGTGTCTGGCATGTTTGCAATGAGATGTTTCAAAATTCTGCCTATTAGCTTCCACATGCATGCCATCTGTCCATGTGTATGTAACAACTTAGGTACAGGTGAACAAATTTTCATCAATTTAACACTGAATAGTTTTATTAAAATTTGTTGATACAATCCAGTATTTGTTATAGGTGGGCACAAATGACTAACATTGCATACATGAAGACATAATTGCATTTTGAGTTTAACTCACTAGACATTTATCAGAATAACACATGTCTTGAAAAACTGCTGTATGGGAAAATGAAACACACATGTCATGCCTAACACTTTCTCCACACATCTTATAGTTCTCAAGACAATTAAACAAAATGGAACAAATGTGTTATGTGTACATTTCATAACTTGCTGATTTATGGCAAGTATTTTGCTCTTCATCCTATATAGACAGACTGTGAGAGCTTTCTAGCTCTCTGCCTAATGACTACAAGTGGCCTGGTTCACTGGGGGGAAACTTGCTGGTCCTTGTAGTTAATCACAGAATTTAAGGATCTTACATTAAACGGCAATAATGCTACTCTTGTCACTGAAGTTCATGTGGACACATGTTTATATTATTAAAGTTACAAAATCGAAATCTCAAAAGTTTGGTTAACATATTTCACGAAAATTTGGTAACTGTTCCAGAAATTCTGGGCAAGACACACAGACCCTAATAAATGTGATGTGTTCAAACAAACTTACCAACTTTAGCTAGGCCAGAAACCACAATGAAGACAGCAAATGTAAAGAATACTCCGATCTCATCCCATCGCCAATTGGCTACATGAATACCATGATGTTCTGTTTCATGGCTACTTGAATCATTTGTCAGTAGTTCATCTTGTGACAGTCTGTTTGACAACTGTCCTAACCTTTCAGAGATGGCATTACTGTAATTGATTGGTGGTTTACTGATGCTATCCCAGTCTACTTCAGAAACATTTCTCTCTACAAGGCTTCCTGACAGGCAGATAAAATATTCTGCCAGAAATGTTATGAGTGAGATCCATGCTCCAGACACCATTATACTGAAAAATAAATCAGTTCATTTTATGTATTAATTCTGCCTAACCAGGAAAATTGTGAGTGGAATAATCAGGTTTCTGTTTAGGAATTGATTCAGCCTATGCATTTGAATACTATTTTTGTGCAAAAATGTAACATTATATTAAAGTCACAAGCAAGTCAATGCAACTGATAGCTGCAGCTATAATTATTTTTATGTACTGGTCAACTAGAATAGTTTACATCCTGCGGTTACAATAACATTTCTGCCTAAAATTTATTACATTACACTGCAGTATGTGGGGGCATGCAGTAGCATAGTTGGTTGAGGCACTATGCTACAAGCCAGAAGGTTGCGGGTTCAAGTCCCAATGAGGTCACTGCACTTTTTTCAATCGACCTACTCCTTCCAGCCGCACTATGGCCCTGGGGTCAACTCAGCCTCTAACAGAAATGAGTACCAGGAATATTTTTGGGGATAAAGGGCAGCCAGTGTGTAGGGCTGACAACCTTGACACCATCTACGAGCCGACTGTCTAGAGAATGTGGGAACCTCAACAGCTCACAACCTTATGGGCCTCCACAGCCTGTTACAGGGATACCTTTACTTTACTTACTTACTTCACACTGCAGCATGTATTATATTATAGTGTGTTATTACAATATATAATATTATAGTGTATGATACTGTATTATGTTATGTTATATTTCACTGCATGGAATTGAACTGAATTATTGTTTCTGTTAAGTTGTACTGTGTTATGGCTTTGTGTAATACCATATATTGTGTTATGTTATATGAATATTACATTGTAGTATATTATGCTGTACTGTATTGTGTTAGGTTTACATTACATTACATTATGTTGTATTGTGTTACAATTATATATTATTTATATTACATTAGGTTGTAATTATAATGTATTGTGTTATATTTCATTGCAGTATGTTACTAATTACACTATTATGTTGTACTATTATTATGTTATTATGTATTATGTCGTACTATGACAGTGTACTGAACTGTGTTATAACAGCCATAACACATTAATTGATGTGCTCTGGTATGTGATACTGTACCCTAGCCTACATGTTCTTGGTCCTCTGAACTGCTGTGCTGCTGCACACAAACTGACAGTTGTTCTGTGACCTTAACTTGCCTACACTCAGTCAGTTGTGTAATTGAGTCTCACTATACATTTCCAAGGTCAACATGTGGTAGGTGACCACAGAAGATAGGCATGCAAATATTGACTGCTCAAAGGGAACAACATTACAATAAAGTTTAGTGAGTTGCTAACAGGAGGGTGGCAGAGGTTGCTAAAGTGATACACATATTAAAACTGAATAGACAAGAGTGTAAAAATATGGTACACAGGACAAAAGTAGCCCTTGAAAAAATTCTGACTGTAACATAAAGCTCTTCAAAGTGGAACAAAAAAAAGTCTCAATGGAAGAAATTACCTTGTAAGCATAAATGGGTTAATAATACTAAAATGGATCTTAAAGAACTAGAGTGTGAATGTATAGACTTAATTCAGATGGCTCAGGATAGGGTCCAGTGGTGAGCTCTTGTGAACATGATAGTGAATCTTATCAGTCATGATTTTCCTTAAAAAATTGTTTGTTTACTAATTTCTTTATGATTCATTTAATGGAACTTTCAATAGCTCAGATTATATGTTGCCAGGCAGTATGACAGTAAATAATGGATTGGAAAGTAGAGAAAAAAGTGGGTGTGGCATAATTTGAGTTACTATCACAAGAGCTGGCAGGAGATACTGAGAAAAACCAGAAAAACTTCAATCAGGATAGTCAGTCTTTAGCCAAGATTTAAACCCAGGACCTCCTGAATACAAAGCAGCCACATTAACAACTTGACCATAATGTTTGGAGAAAAGTTCTGTGAAATGAATCATAATGAGGCTACAGAAAGGGCATCACATTTCAATTATAAATACTGTCAAATATGCTTCTGTCGTGGTGACAATATTACGATGTTTCAGTATGTATGTGGTACAGCACAATGCATATTAGAGAGAAGGGAGGAGAGGAACTGGACTAAATGTACAGGATATTGGTATAAGTGATATGGGGTTACTTTCATTACTTCTTTGAAACGCGAAGCTCATCTAAATAATTTTTAAAAAATAAATTCCTACCTCAAAGAAAACACACTGTCCTCCATTACAAGAGCTAACCAGTTAAAGCTATTTAGGGAAATAATCGGTGTTTACTGTGAGCATCATGTAAAACACATAAATACGATCTGATGGGAGAACACAGAGTCTTTTCAATGCACTTTACAGTGTTAAATATATATTTGCTTCTAGCATAATTGTTGTTCTATGCAACTAAATGGAAGAAAAGTCCACAGTTTCTTCTTTCTTCCTCTAACAACTGGACATACTCTCATGTGGTAAATTTTTGCCCTGTAACAATTGAATGTAGGATATTCTATTTTTAAGAAATTTGGAAAAATTTTGTTTGATCTTCATGTAAAATATTGGGTTATACTTGGTGAACAAAGCCCAAAATTAGGTTATCTTAAAAATTTAAAATATAGACTCCCATTACATTATTTTAACAACCATTAGTTACATGAACCTTCCACCCTCACAAATGTTCCCATGATCCATTTCAATATTATCATCTTCTCCTTCTGGTTCTCCAAGAATTTCCCTTGAAGATTTTGTGTTCTCATTGCTGATCCCATTGTAGCTTCCTTGGTTACAATACTCTAACAATACTTACAAAAGAGATCTCTGTGCTGAAGACAGTAATTGTTTAAAAATATATTATACAGCAACGCCAATCTCTTAATGCATGAATTACATGCAACAGAAAACCAGCCTCTAATTATCAGCCAGAATGGACTATGGCAGGCCTAGCAGAACGAGTACGTTGAAGGAGTTCATGGGCCACAGTCTGCATGTTTTGACCCTCACTCACTCACTCACTCACTCATGGAGCTGAGCTTTTCTTGAGAAGCTGCCAATTGTGCAGCTACTCAAGAACTTCCCAGCATTTTATGGAAACCGAAGGTTCATTACCATGTTCACAAGAGCCCTCCGCTGGTCCTTGTCCTGAGCTAGATCAAGACAATCCATAACATCCCATCCTATCTCTCTAAGATCCATTTTAATATTGTCCACCAACCTACACCTTGGTCTTCCCAGTGGTCTCTTTCCTTCTGGCTTTCCCACAATTCAGATTTTGTTAACAATATTTTGAAAGCAGAATATATTTGGTTTCTGAAAACTTGTTAAGGATCCAGGATACTTCAGGTGACATAGTGGTGGACTACAGGCTCAATGGCCAGGGTTTGATTTCTGGCATGGGAAAGAGATTTTTCTCTCCTCCAGAGCACCCATATGAGTTCTGGGGATCATCCAGCCTCCAATCTAACAGTTACAGAAGGTTTTTCTCCATGTAGGTAACATGATTGGGGCTTGGAATTGACCATTCACCTCCATCTAGTGCCGAGGTCAAAAATGGAGCTATACCTCCACCCCCCCATGCATCTTCAAGGCATGGTGAACAGTTAATTATGGACAAGCACAACTTTACCTTTTACCTTTAAAAATTTACACTGTCATACTGAAAACAACACAACTTGTTAATTGAGCTAGCTAAGTTCATCTTTGAGTTTTTATGTGGCAAGTATCTGCTGTCTTACACATTTATGATTGAATGACAAGGCCAAGTGATTAGCATTCCTAATTCATATTTTGGAGGTCTCAGATTGAAAATCTTGGCCTTGAGTTTCTTCTTTATATTCTTCAGTACCTCCAGGTAATTGCCAGGACAGTACCACAAATTAGGGAGGTCATGACCACTTTCTTATGCATCACTACTAGTTCTTTATTCCCTGATTCACCTAGGGATACACACCCTTGAATCACATTGAGGAACAACATTCTTGGGATTTTTGTGAAAGAAAAAATTACGGCAGAAAAGAGTATACCACCTTTTACATATTTTCTTCCCATAATGTAGGAGTTTAAACATTTCATGAGTTACAACAGAAACTTACCAGTAATTTACAGACATGAATTCACAACACAAACCACAGGTTTCCAATACCCTCAAGCATCAACCATCACCACTGAAGAGCCTTGTGTTATTTTAGGAAACCTGTAAATCCACACAGAGGCTGTTTAAGCAAATGAACATATCACATCAGCCTCTCAGCACATCAAGATCATCAGAGCTTATATCTACATGTCAGTCATTTGTCAGGATGATTCATCTACAGGTTTCATAAGAAATCCACTGTGTATCCGTTAACCTATCAGTCAACTGTAATAAGAATGAAGAAAGCTAACAATTACTAACCCTTATCATTGGATTTATCTTCCATACTTCAAGATAAGCAATGTCAACAATTGGGTAACAACCTGAATGACATTGAAATATTTGTTCTTTAATTCTATCAAATATCTTGCTAACTAACAGATTCCATCTTGAGGGGCCATTCGTTACTTAGCTGTCCAAAACATTCCTTGTCTCTTACAGAACCTGAAGATTCATTACTGTATTCATAAAAGCCCACTACTGGAGATCAAATCAGGTAAATCAGGTCCATACCTCGACACTTTTCCAAGATCAATTACATTATCCTCCCATTGCAGTTTAAGCATCCAAAATACTCTCCCCCATTCAGGGTTTATGTGTGGTAACAGCAGATGTCTCTGATGACCACATGTATCAATAAATATGACTATTATTTTGGGTGCTGTCCATCATCTTGTGTTCTTTAAAACATATTTCAGAACCTGGAGTTTTTCTTCATCACTTCTAGGACAGGAAGGGTTCCTACAGAGGTCCAATGATTGGGGCTGGATCTTTCTCTAACAGACCAAACTGAGTAGGAACGTTCCCTTCCTAACAGATGGGGGATGAAAACACATGCAGTTTGCAGGTGGGCAATATCCACAAAAAAGTATGCACTACCGGCACTGTCCATACTGCTGTCGAGTTGAGCACTCTATTATTATTTATGGAAGAAATCAAAGAATTAAACTCCTCATTATGCAAGTTTTTACATCTTCTTGCACCTTTCTCTCATTCCCTTCGCTTAGATCATAATAAACAAAAAGTCTGGAAAACTAGTCACCTTCTTTCCTTTCACTACATATCGAGTATCTGCTCACACAGATCACATACAGAACACCACGTCCAACAGTTCTTCTGTTGTTGCATGTATACTCCTTCCAATGAGAATATCTTTACCCAGCCATTGCCTAAAAACAGCCATCTCTTCTGGCTCCATTATTCCAGCTTGTTGGGGAGGGGACAGAGGGCAAGGTGATCTCATGTGCCTTCTTTTATTATTTTTCAAAATAAGGAGGCTAAAAAAGTAATGTAACTATGAACAACTTTATAAGAGATTGTACCTTTCTTTATAATTTGCTTCAAGACCGTAAGCTAGCCGGTCATGGTAGCCGAGCGGTCTAAGGCATGCACTGTCTCTGCTCTCTCGGAAGCCAGGATCGTAGGTTCGAATACCACTCAGGAAATGGATGTTTGTGTGCGTTCTTCTGTGTTTGTGTACAGGTAGAGGCCTTGCGACGAGCTGATCACCTACCCAAGGAGTCCTACCGTATGTCTAAGGTCTAGTAAACCGAAGTGAAACGGTGAGTTTCATGGGGGTAGGGCTAGGTCCAAATGAGGGCTGTAGCGCCAATGAAAGGAAAAAAAAGGCTGTAAGCTAGTATGATGTACCATTACATTCTATCAGAGAAACAGCCGTGCATACAAAGACCGATACATTTTATGCCACAAATGTGTAGTTACCTGTGAATGTGAGATATTAGTAGCCCAACCACACAGTGCAACATAAAATCTATTGATTCTGTGATTCCATATAAGCTCTAGTGGCTGGACCTTGTGACCATAGAAGAACCGACCATCATCTTCTCAGGATGGACTTTTGGTATATATAAAAACATAACTTTCCTGTCTCCCATTTCTTATCACAGACATATTAGCCTAAACTTTCCATAGCCTCTCTTCTTATGTTTACCAGAAAAATATAAGTAGCAACAGAACATCCACTCATGACCAACTGAGTACTGTAGCCAACACTACTGGTCTAATAAACTTTTCTAACCTCTGCCTGCTTCAGAAATGGTGAGTCCAATTTTAAGTGTCAGCACTTATAGGACATACAACCCTAAGAAAGGTGCCTGAAGGCTGTCTTTGGGAACTACTCAATCCAAACAATACAAATCGGTGTGACAACCTAGCAATCCTCCTCTACCTTTATCAGAAGTGGGGGAGGGGAAATGTGTACCCCATAGTGCATCTGGATGGCCATCCTCACCACAGAAGCCAACCACCCTACCTATTGTTCCAATAGGTCCATGATTATGAATTAAGGTTCCACTCAGAACTTCAAACACTGCAAGCACACCTGGGCTGGTCCATGTGACTTGGCGTATTTCATCAGTATGTATAAATAAGTACTCTTGTGAAGATTACTGTCATCTAGCATGTGATGCTGTGTAGTCCAGTATACGTTTCGGGGCAAATTGCTGCCTTCATCTTCAGGACATAAATCAAGTAAGGAAAGAAGTGGTATAAGAGGAAGGTTTGGCCTGGAGCCCTGAGCAAACCAAGATCAGTAAGGAGTACAGCGGAAAAAATGCTGGCACTGGGGCATCACGGTCATGGCTGTGGGAACCAGGAATCTCGCAGTCTCCTAGTACTTACTCACTTAGGATGAGATGGGAAGAATATGAAATGCATACACTTTTCATTGGAAGACTTCATGAAAACAGATCTTATTGGAGACCTATGTAGATATCCTAAGATACAGTTAAACTGGATCTCAGATAAACAGGAAATGTGAAATGGATTGGGACAGGATCAAATCATATGCTTTTGCAATAATGGTGACAAAATGACTGGGCCCATAATGGTTGGGAATTTCTAGATTAGCTAAACAGCTTCTCTGAGAGGATCCTGCAACAGAAACAGTTACTGGAATGGCTATGATTAAAGACTGTGAAAAGGATTTTGTCTTAAAACTGCCGTTTCATGGGATGTGACACCGTGTATTCTTATAACATCCCAGAAGACTGCAATCCCAATATTCACCACACTGAAACCCTCACAGAGGACTGTCTTCATCATAAAATCGAGCTAGCACAACTGTACCCCATCTAAAGAATTCAGTGATAATGAAGTTCACAAAAAAGAAGCCCCTGGGCCACAACAAACAGAGNGGGGGTTGAGGTTCTCCCAGTACTGACTATGAAAGGCAAAGTGTTCTGGACTGTGGCAACATACAGTCTGGTAGAAGTTTACTGACACTTCAGAGAATGTAATGCCTGCATTTTCAGGGTCTCTACTTTAGGTTGCGTCTTGCTAGTTCCTTGCTTGGCTGACTCTTCGACCCTGAAGATGGAGGTAATACATTTCTCCAAAATGTCATTGGACATCTTCCAGATTATATGGCACCACATCCCAGGAAACAGTACTTTTCGGTTGTAAGGACGCAGTGAGAAGCCAAAGTCCTCACTGTCCTCACTACTCCCTTCTTCATCCTCCACCACAGGTTCATCTGAGTTCATACATTTCTGATGAGTCATGGTGAGCAGAAGACTGGCAAGGGGAGTCAGAGCAAGTTTCGTGGAATGAAAGAACTACAACAACTAAAAAGAGAGTAAAATATACAAACATTTCTACTTACAGGTCACAAATATGGGTCCAAAATCAGAGAGACGAAAGTACATTGAAATGGAATTCATCAAAGCAAATTACAGGATACAAGAATACAAATGGCTGAAAAATGGAATTATAGAGATACAATTGTATCTGAAATGAAACATAATACAGTAAATCCTCAGATAATACCTGACATGATAGGACTGAACGATATGTGGAACTGGGCTCATTCAGAAGGGCAGAAACATGAGACACAAGAGAAACTTGTATAAGAAGAAAATACAAGGCACGCATGTGCGCACATATAAACAGGGACATTTTACATTTAGTAAACCCTAAAGATATGGAATCTTGAAGGGCTGGAAACTGTTAGAATTCTACAAGGGACGGGAACAATTTCTGAATAGGTTGGGTTCCATAACATTACATATTTTATTGCTCTTTATACTGGTAAAGATGTTTATATTGAGAACCAAACTGCACATTACTGTAGCAGTTAAATTTACTGAAATAAATGAAGATTATAAACCTGACTCTTGAGAATTAGAGTCCTTGTTTTGTTCATGAAATCAACTGCATCCATGAACACTTTGGACTTCAAGAGTTATAAGGCCATGTGGTGTGGAGGAAGCCTGATGTTTCCGAGGTGATACAACCCCTATCATCAGAACCTCAAACTCATCAAATGGATCTGGATCTGTAACATTACTAGCACAGATCCATTTTAAACTATCTTCATGAATGTACTTCATGACGATTTTATTTGAGAAGAGTGCAGCAGAAATCATTTAGAATAACATAATTTATGTAAATCATATCTATAGAGTAGCTGATAAAATTAATAATCAGAGATTTGTTCCAACCATGTATCTGTTACACAGTGAATAATTTTCTCTTTTGCACTCTGATCACCTGATGCTTAACAATGTCACAACACATCAGAAACCTTTTACGTGGAATATGTTCATTAACCCCTACTGTTCAGATGTATGGGATTTTATCATCCCTACCCCAGTATTGGGCCGCTGGCAGCCATATTTATTTTGGAAGGCAAAAGAGAATTTCCCAAAGAAAAATATGGCACATACAATTGCTGCGAAAAGAAAGCTATCAGTTCCTCTGCACTGTACTGCAGCTTAAAGTACCACACCATGAAGACATACAGGGAAGTACAGATACAGTCCCATAACATTCTGAACCTTACCGCCAGACACATATGCGCAATTAAACTGTGAACACAGCCCATCAACTCACACAAAACTGCTTCTCCTTAACCCATGTAAATGGTGCCTTGGCACCAAGCATGCTGGTGTAGCGATGAAGTTTGAGATTTGTATTCCAGAGGCTGAAATGTCAGAAATGTTAGAAGTTCTGGCTGCTCTAAGAATTTCAGTTCATTCCAGTCACTGAATACAAAGAAGAACTGAATGAAGAGATGCATACGAACATTTTGTGACCTCAACTGTACATGCTTCCTGTAACTCACACCCCAGAAACAAAATGCAGCTTGACATGAACATGTGAAAAATACTATATGTACTCATTCCAGAAATCTGGTACAATATAAAGTGACTGTGGCTAATTTATTGACCACACTGTATAGAAACAAACGTCCCAATATTTACAATAGTAAACATTCTGTATACAAACTGATTATGTACACATCACACCACACTAGCTATCTAAAAGCACAGCAAATAACAGGACTCTCAAGTTCTGGAAGTGACAGGATTATAATAAAGAGCTGCATGTTCTGTTACACTTGCAGCAGTTTTTATTTTAAACATTTACAACAAAAACTAACCCTCTTCTTGTTCAGCCAACTTCTTTTTCTTCTTCTTTTTTTCACTGTTGGTTTCCAATTTAACAAAGGAACCAGTGAAAGAATCATCAGGCTCGATTCCAGACTGATCAAAATCCTTGGACTTTTTCTTCTTTTTCTTCTTCTTTTTGCCAGACTCTGAAAGGGACAAAAGCCTTAACAAACAAAAATAAAAAAAAGATTAATCACTTCACTGACTTATTTATGATCTGGGCCTCTTCCACAGATGCCAAATGACAACAGTACTTTCATATCTAATGTCATGTGATTGCAAAATAATCTGAATGACATCTAAGGGTTTGGAAGTAGTTCAATTGTGTCAGGAATACCAAAGAAATCACAATTCAAACCAGGTACTTCCCAATACTAGCCTAGGGTTATTCCTGCTCCATATGTTGTTGAAGCAACATGGCAACATTTTTTCTACACCTGTATATTAAAGAGACACTAAAGATGGTGATGCCACTGCTGATACATGCAACACAGAGGCTATTGTAATACCATGAATGGCTGACAGATGCTGCTCTAAAAGGCTGGCATTTGCAGCCAGATGCTAATGAAAGCCTCCATCAGAGATGAATAATATGGCTTAAGACCTTGGGGCAGGCACGTGGCAACAGCAAACAAGTGCCAATAGTACCACACACATTATATAGGACATCCAAATTCATTATTGACATGCCCTAACCAGACATCTTTTAGCAATATCTGTACTGAAATGTAGAGAATGTACATAAATAATATACAGTTTGGAATTAGAGGCGAAATGTAAGCCCAACTTGTCCCTGAGCTTAATCAAGCACCAGGCCATGAACACACGTGTTACAGTGGAGGTAAATATCCAGTCTTCCTTAACCTTCAGCATTAGGAAGGAAGTGACCAGCCTCTCATTCTGGCTGGCCAAGGAGAGAGCCCCTAGTATTCACTTGATAGGAGGCTAAGTGGCCCCCAGAGCACATTCCAAATGCAGTGGTGAAAAGAAAAGGTCTTACTGAACTTCACTTCTCTGGTCAACCAGTTCAAAACGTAGTCAATATATTGAGTGAGATATGTTGAATCCTTACGAGCCAAAAAGAAATGACAGAAGAATAACGTACTCAACAGAGTGATGCATACTATACAAAGACAACAGGGAAAGTACAGCCAAAGGCAGAAGATTAAAGAATGTATGACAGTCTTGATATATATGGAAGAGTTGTGTGAAAAACAAACAAATGAGGAAATGAAGAGAAAAGAGAAAAAGGAAAATCTGTTATTGGTAAAACTGTAATTCTATCATTTCTTCATTTCTTTAATGCTGAGAAACATAGTGTCCCTTCAAGGAAATACATTTCTCCACATGTTATTTGTGTGCCTGCCATATGTCGAGACTCGTCAGGGGAAGATGCAAGCTCTCTTCACAGTGACAATTTTATCAAATTTAGATGCATTTCCTAGGCAACCACAAGCTGTAGAGTTATGACATTCAGCACACATCCAGGTGGGGGGGGGGGGGTGCTCTGTAGCTACTGCCTTCCTTCTGCAGCCATTTACCACATTTTTAGCCTACTTTCCTTATTCCAAAAAAATAAAATGAGGCTTATAAGATCACCTTGCTGTCTGTGTATCCATCTGGGTCTCTCCGTCCGTCTGTGTATCCCCCACTAATTTTTCAGGCTCATGGGATAGCCTGGCTGTCCGTCCCCCTTTTGCAGGTAGGTAATGAGCTATCTGCATGTATGTTTGCAACCCCCCCAACAGATTTTTTTGTTTTCTGTGCAGTCTGTGTCACATGAGAAGTGACTATAAGAGGGTGTGGGATTGGAGACTGCATTTATTGACCACTTACAGAACATAACTACTAGTAATTATAACGTGAATGCTATCTGCACACTTTACAAATCACTACTGCACATGCTGACTCTTTCCGGTTTGCTGTGTCTTCATCAGTTTTTCTGTGGTAACAGCTTCTAACAGTGGAGATTCTTCTGCTTCCATGCTCACTTTGTTGCCTGTTGGCTTTCAGCTGCACTAACACTCTCTTCACAGACCCCATTACAACTCTCTCAACTCTTACTCCTACTGTCCTTCTTACACCAATCTTGGCACAGAAAACACTTTTTTGTTGTACTCAAATCGTTTCCATGGGAACATGTTTTTTTCGCAAAGACGTTACTCAGTAACAGCTGCATATATCCACTTATTAAGAATCTGTTGCCTAGAAGCAGATGTTGCTTCATTGTCTGTTTCATGGTAAAGAGCCTACAAGCTACAATATCAAAGAAAAGTAGGCCGTTAGTTCTTTGCAGAACTTCTTGTTACAAACTGTCTTACAGAAATTGTTAAAAATATATTTATAAGCAAATCACAGCAAAAGGAAATTACCAGACACAGTGAACCATCGGTTATATGCCTGCAAATTTCATATTCGTAGAGTTTACGGCTACTTAGGACAATGCATCCAAACTCAACAAAAACAGTACCATGCAGACAGGGAACTCATACTTAAGATCAGAATGACACAAACAAAATGAGGAACTTTGCCACTGGAGTTGCCATTTACTGGCTGGCAAGACACAGCTCGAACTTCTCTCCGTTTTCAAGGCTTCTTGACCTTCCAGAAACAGGGATCCTAGTCTCATACCTACTATGGGGTTGGCAGCCATATTTAAATTCTAGGCAAATGGGGTTAGTACTGAAATCCTGCAATGCTCAGCCAGGTATACAATGCAAATGTGCATTCACAACAATGAAGGTCACTAAAGGTTAATCAGTAACGCAACAATGCTCCTGCACAGTTTGCACACTGCACTCACCCGTCTCCCCTGTCTCCATTTGCTCCTCCTCCTCCTCCTTCACGTCTACACCATCATTTGAACAAACACACAAGACAATGTTCACCTGTTACTGAATCACAAATATTGACCCTACACGCAATACATGGAGTCTGAATGATGAATTTCTTACCATATGCCATGCTTTCATCATCTGCAGGTTCACTCTTAATTTTCTTTTTCTTCTTCTTCTTACTGTGTTCTTCCCCCTGTCCTGCAGTCTCAACATCATTTACTGTTTCGTGTTTTACCTTCTTCTTCTTTCTTGGATGAAGTTCACCTGTAAACACATGTATCTTATGAACACATACACAAACAATTCTGCACTAGAAAACATGTTACTACCTACTGCTCCAATGTACTGAGTTGCAGTCTTTTATCCCACTGGCCATCGTGTCAAAGTACCCTGCTCCCACCGCAGCAAAACCAGGCCTCCCAGTTTTCAAGAAGCAGTTCTTATAATTGTGTATATTTCAGTATCACATCAATAAATCTTATTTCAAGAAAGATTAGTCTTCTGGGATGTGATGCTATGTAATTTAGTAAATACATATCAATATTTTGGAGGTCACTTAATTTTCTACCCTGAAGTTGGAGGCAGCAGGTTCCTCCAAAACACTGGTACCTATCCACTACAGGTGTCACATCCCAGAAGATTCAACTTTACGATTCAGAGCCATGAGAACCTCAAACATAAAGGAAAAAATCTGCCAATGGCATTTAAATACCACCTCAAATGACTGGATATTTATAAAAAATAAATTTGAAAGGATATAAAAGTAATTGGTCATGGCGTAATTTTAAGGTAATAGCCTGGCATTTGCCTGGAGGGACTGGGAAAAACCACAAGACACCTCAGTCGGGATAGCTGGTAACCCAGTCAAGATTCAAACTGAGGACCTCCTGAATACACGCCAGAAGCGTTACTGCTCAAGTGCTGGGGTTCCTCATGAAGACGACAAAACCACTCAGTGTGCACACACTTGCCAGAACTCTATACTGAGATGTGTACTGGTGTGATCACACACCATACAGCACACTGCTAAGCATGTCACATTTGTTCATACTCGTCAATTTTTTTACAAAATAAATATAAACATATAATTAATTCTTACACTTCAGTAAGAGCTTTAGTGACTTACTTTCATCAACAATTTCTTCAATGAGCACCTTCTTTGGAGATTCTTGCATTTGCTCAAACTTCCTCTTCTTTGTGGGTAGTGTAGAGTCAGCAGCAGTTGGGTATTGTTTCACTTCACTGCACATGAAATAAACAATGAATACACACTGTGAAAGGAAACCTGATGACCTCAGTACCAAAACACAACTACCTCTGCCTGTATAATTCAGGTAAGGACTACTGTCTATAAATCTACCAACAGTAACTTTAATTGTTTCTTGCATCCTGTTGCATCTTATTCAGGCCTGAATAAGATACAGCATCGAATAAGTGAAAAGACAAATATCACTGCGTGTAATTATACAGCTGTGTTCGTACACCTGATGATGACCTCTTGAGGTCGAAACATGTAGTGTAATAATAATAAAAATATGTTGTGTGGTCGGTAAAATTGACTCTAATACTACCAACAGTAAATTTACCACTATAAATTAAGCACCATTTTGGACCAATTCAGATAGTTCTCACCTCTTGCTATAATACTTCTCGAACTTAGCCTTCGCTTTACCCGTACCACTGATACGACGCAAGTTGCCTTCTTCTAGGAGACGAATGCGAGCTTCTACTTTCACCTTGTGTTCAGCACCCAAGTCCAATGAGCAGTCTTCCCCTAAGGCATCCACACGAGTGGCCAGTGCTGCTTTGGCAGCCAGCATCCTCGAAATCTGTGAAAAAGGTACAGTGCCACATTCATACAGGTGCATGCCTCACTTTACATTAATCAGTACAACACTGAAAATCGGTCAAAATTGGCACTGCATATCTTATGGCTTCTAGAAGACCAACCAACCAGATGTTCAGGTGTGTGTGACACTCCTCCCACCTGATCCAGCTGCGGACATACAGATGGCCAGCAGAACTGACAAGCTCATGTCCTAACAAATTACTAAATGAACCCTGACATTACTGAATTGCGATCAATGCAACTGAATTTCAACTGAGGGAGACACTTCAAACAAGGAGTATCAGGGTTTGTATACACTCAGCTAGAACAAATTTTAGTAGCACCCTCCGCTGTTATCAGGGGAATGCTCAAGCCTCGAATCCATTTCATTGTTAGTCTGTGGGCGGAGGCAAAGTGCTCAATGAAGAGATACTAGATGAAACTGGCACTAGGCTTTAAAGTTCTCCTCTAAGAACCCCTCATAAGCCTTGCGAAGGAGACAAGGATTCAAGTCTACTCTACTTCAGAAGAACTTTTTACTCTGCTTGTTGCTTGCCTCTTTCACCTGCTCTTAGACCCTCAAGAGAGATGTACAATGTTCCTCTCCAAAACATCGGGAGATTTCTATCATAATGCAGTGCATAATGTCCCAGATGATAGTACTCTCTGAATAATGTATATTGTCCATATGGGTTTTCAGCAGGGACTAGGAGAGAATGTTCACTAAACAAGGAAACACTAAATCAGGATTTGCAAATAATCAGGCAACTGTATCTCAATAAGTGACTGTAGATTTCCTTCACCTTTCCTTTATGTATTGTGCTTGTTTGCCCAACAAGAGTACTATGATATATCAACCCATATTTTGGTGTGTCCTTCTTTGTTTTCAAGGCACGGAACAAAGCCTTCTCTGCTCCAAGGATCTGTACGGTAGAAGCAGGATGCTTTGCCAGGTTGATGAGGGAACCTGAGGAAAAAGCACAGAAAAGTGTTAACATCTTGAGAGCTGTTGTGAACGGCAGAAACAAGGAAACTGCATGTGTTGCAAAGTTGCTACTTTCTGCAACAAGAAGTATGCATGACTTACTTTCAGAACGCAACAGATAATCTTACCCCATCCTACATTTCAATGGTGTCACACAGTTCTCTCGTGTTGTACAATGTACGTATGTCCCACTTACCCGCATGTGAAATCAGCCTTGCACCCACTAATTCTCCAACTAACACTGTAAGGTTAGGAGCCATGGCTATCATTCTGCTACGCAAGTAGTCGTACAGCTGCGAACGATACGACGAGATCTCAATCACCTATAACACAAACCTTCATGTCAATTCTACTTGTGGTTTACTTAATGATCCTTTCAGTAGCTCACACTATACAGAATCAAGTGGCAGAAAGACTCTGAAAGGATGTGGAAGAAAATGGTAAAACGAAATCCAAGGTATTATCTCAGTATTCCTTCTGAGGAACTGTGGAAAACTACCCAAAGCATCCATTATGACAGCCAATGCCTCAGCCTGGATTTAAACCAGGCACCTCCTTAGTTCAGGTAGCATAGTTGGTTGAGGAACTATGACACATGCTGGCAGGTTGTGGGTTCGAATCCTATTGAAATCATTGGATTTTTCAATTGACCTAATCCTTCCAGCTGCATTATGGCCCTGGGGTCTGCTCAGCCTCTAACAGAAATGAGTACCAGGAATCTTCCTGGGGGTAAAGGGCAGCCAAGGCATAAGGCTGTAAACCTCACCACCACTTGCAAGCCAATAGTTTAGAAATGTGGAAGCCTTGATGTCTCACAACCCTATTGGTCTCCACAATCTGCTACAGGGGTTGCTTTACCCTTATCTCCTGAGTTTAAAACGGCAGCACTGCCTCAACCAACTTACTCACTGCATCAACATAAGTAAGTAAAAAAGTAAAGCTATCCCTGTAACAAGCTGTGAAGGCCCATAGGGTTGTGAGATGACGAGGGTCCAACGTTATCTAGACCAGAGATGGCCAACTGGCGGCCTGCTGGCCGCATCCGGCCCGCGACTTGATTTACTCCAGCCCCCCGCCAAGTCTCAGGTTTATTTTAAAAAATCTTAACTTCGTAAGCTCTATTGGCATAGAATTCAGTTTTAAATAGGACGTTTCATTAGCTTTTAGCATTTTGCAATTGAGTGTATACGTTCTTACCGAGTTGGACAGTTCAAACTGTTTTCTAATAACTGTGTTCATGTCATGGAAATCCCAAGTCCCCCAACCCTACTTCTGTAGGGCGATAACACTGAAAGGAAGACCTTAGTGGTGAAGGACTTATGACACCTTCAAAATAGTAACCATTCCCAGCTTGCTCGCGGGGATGGGATATTTACCGTTTCTCTCAGCGTCCTGGCCTTTCTTACATGCCAGTTCTAGCAGAAATGTCTCCCAGTTAGTGCGATTTTAGAAAGTGAAGTGTGATTACAGAGTGTGAGTGTAGAACTGTTTTTCAACTAAAATTGTGTTTGAAGTTATTGTAAGTGATACAGCATGTCAAATAGTAAATTGAGAAAAGTTGATAG